AGCCCCTGAAGCCCTGGAATGCAGAGAGGTCGGGAGGGGAGGGGTGGGGGGAGGCAGGAAGGACCCGGAATTGAACAGATATTGTTTTCTGGCTCTGGGGTCTTCCATGACAGATGGGGATTGAACTCCTGAAAGCGATGGTGAAATCCGGTTGAGGTTTGAATTTTGTCCAGAAGTCCAATTCCTCTGAACCGGCGCCCTACACAACCTACGTCGAGAGGCCTCTGATCCAGAGATTTGCCAGAAGATTGAGCGTGCCATCTTCGCCGAGCACCGTCCCCAGCAATTCTAGAGAATTGCGGGTGAGGATGGGTGAGGTTGCTGGAGGATAGAAATGCAATAAAAGTGTTCAGGGAGTATTCTTCCAGGGAGATGCGGGTTATGTTAGAGTTGAAGGCTCAGGGTTCATATTTAAAACAGATGGCACAAGTCCAAAGTAGTTTCAACACTTCCGATGTTGGGCTTCTTACTCCAGGCGGAACGGGGGGGGGGGGGGGGGGGGGGATGCCTACGTTCGTGAGGCAACTTGTTCACAGTGGCCTTTCTATAATAATGACTCTCATGATATAAGTCAGTTGCAGTATGCATACATTATCAGTATGGAAGCGTACCCTGATTTCAATTTAGTTTAAAACAAGCCCCAGAGTGAGTCAGCCTAATGCTTTTTTGGGCTTGGACCTCTACCTGGTTGTGCGGTGAGGATTCTCAACCAAAGGGTTGGGTTTGAGAGGTTTAAATTGAAAGGTTGGTGTGCGCCTTGTGGGGTTTGTACAACTAATTAGAACTTAGGCGGAAGTGTGCCAGACCTGTACAGGCGATGCTTTCTAAGATTTCTGTTGCGGTCCCTGGGAAGCAGAAGAAAGGGATGGGAAGTCTGCAGGGTGCCAAATCACGAGCTGGCTTAGAAGCCGAAGATGATTGACAAAAAACTGGCTTCCAGAGCCGGAGGTATAGCGCCTGCTTCAGTAAGCCCCTAAACCCTGACAGCCTCAAAAACAGGACACGGCACCCGCAAAATTTTCAACAACACCTGCAAACCCCGCTGCGCACCCCAGGCAACCTCCTGTGAATCACCGCACCCCTCTTGCAGCAACCGCGGAGGAGTAGCAAGACCCTGATCATCCTCGTAACGAGAAGAAACCAAAAACTTCAGACGCCAATCTCCAGAGTGCGCAGCAGCCTACTTATAACCCTATTGATAACTACCCGTGAACCTTCAAGTGGGCAGAAACCCCATCAAAAGCTTCCCCAAGTAGCCCTTGCGTGCGGAGGTGCAAGATCGTCATTGCAGGCGGAACAGCTGCCAGTGTCGGGTTGAGGGTTCTGGCTAAGGGCCATTTGTAGGTTGCTAAGAGAGTCCACTTGCAGTGCGATCATGGAATTTATATAGATCATGGAATTTATATAGGGGGACCCATAGCAACATTGCCCTTCAAAAGGACCTCAAAGAAGTACAGGAGCGCCCCTACTTCCAGTTGTCGGAAACTGCAGGTAAAGCGCGAAGGCAGGGTGTGGTTTTAGCCGGGTGGGTTGGGGGTTTTCAGCCCCTCATGGCTGAAAGTCGGACGTGGCCGAACAGCTTCCATGGGCCCGTAACTCTGGTCCCTTTACCTTCTTTAAAGGGTTCTGAAGTAAGGGCCCTTGGGTTTTACAGGGTATATCGGGGGTATATGATAAGGGGTCCCCTTTATTGCGGGACCATGTGACTACCCTAAGACTGAACCCCCTTCCCTGTAAAGGCTGTGGCGCCACTCCTCCCGCCCCGCTGCCGCAGAAGCCTCGGCCTAGCAAAGGCCCTCGGACGGAGCGGGTTTAGAGTTTCGGGCTCCGGATTTCGGATGGGTTTCTTTTAGCCATTATGTTATTCTTGCATGGGGAGCTTGAATTATTACGCACTGGGAAAGTTTGATGATTTCAGAGAGATGCAGAGAAGAGAGGCTCTTTGTGCAAGATGTCCGGCGTGCGCCTTCGACGCGAAAGACCCTAATGGGGGCTTATGGTAGTTCATGGCATCAACACTGCTACTGACCTGATGCCAAAGGATGGTTTTAAGAGTTTAGGGTTTAGGGTTGAAGGGCGACTTTTGTGGCTGCACACGCATACTTGGAACATTATGCCTTGCCACAAGAGGGACACCTGAGCAACACGAGCAGACACCAAGGCCTGTGGGAACCCTGTACCCTAGCCGAAACGTTGTTCGCGCAGGCTCGCTGGTTGCAGACCTGGAGGCATTGCTGCACATGTGCGACTGAAACCCTTATTCGCCATTCGATCTAGTTCCCCTTGCGCGATACCGTCGGCCCCATCAGCCTTGTTCTTACTTGGCTCTGTGCCTCATGTATCCTGTATCATATGAAGTCGGGTATAAGACTCGATGTTCTTCAAATCGGGCCGAATCGGGCCCCTGAGTTTAGGACTCATAGAATTTAGGGTTTAGATCGGCCATGAATGCAACTGGCTAGTGTTTCGTTCAGCAGCACATGCCCCCATTGCCAGGTATACGTTTAACACGCAGCTGCTAATGTTTCAGTCTTGTGTTATTGCATGAGCTGCTGAGAAATCCCTTGCACCATCTACCTATAATGGGAACGTCACCGAACGCGCAAAACCCTTTCGAGAAACTTCTGCAGCACTCTCTAATCGGTACAACTTTCTTGACCAGTCGGATCGACGAATCGTGGGTTCAGAGCTCCAGACGAGAACACACATGTTCTGCGCAGGTTCCCCATGCTCCCCACACGAGCGCTTGAACCAGCCTGCCACCACCGCTAAGCGATTCCCATCGTGTCCAACTTAATCCTGGACTTGCTAACCCAGACCGGTCGCTTATGGAATTAAGTATGACTACCCCAAAGCCTCCAACTCTACTCTATCGGATGTCTTGGGGATTAGGGTTTGTTGCTTGAGGGTTACGATTCTGGGGTTCAGGGATCATAGGGGCCAGGGTTGCAGGGTTAATGTTCATGGGACTAGGGATACCAGTTGAAAACCCTAAGCCTAAACTCTATCAACCCTATCAACCCTAAACCCTGAAGCAAAAAGCGCGAGCCACCAGGGTGCCGACATGCCCGCCGAACCTGCAAGTGGCCCGGTCAAGGGCTTCCGCCGTATGTCGCAGCGCAAGGCCCCGGGTTTTCAGTGGATGGGGTTTAGGGTTTAGGGTCCAGGGTTTACGGCAGGGATCTTGCTTGGCTTCTCGCGCTGCAAAGCTAAGGCCCTGAATCCCCCAACACCGAAGCAAAAGCACGTCCCGTCCCACACCTTAAAACTCTACCCTACTAGGCTTCAAATCCGGCTGCCTCTCAAAACACCTCATGCCTGACACCTCGAGAACGGTCTTGTTGCTGTCTTAAGCATGTCTCAAGCAGTGGAAATGAACCAAAGACACACATTTGCGAATCGAACACGGCATCCGGTAGCCGCGACAACAGCAGCTTCGAACCGATGTCTGCATATACAAGGGACCGGAAATGCAGACAGGGCTCGATATAGCATTAGATGCTTTGCAGAGGGCTCAGGGTTTCGGCATTCTTTTGCGCTTAGCTCCAAAGCAGTTCGGCGTCTGCCCCCTAGCCAGAAGTAGATTTCGAAACTGTAAGTTACGGGATGCATGCAATAATTGACTCCAAGGGCGGACAGTGCTCGAAGCTCTACTGAGAGCAGCTCAAGTCATCTTAAGATCCCTGGCCTTTTCAAGATGTCAGGCCTCCAGCCACAACCTCGTAGGCTCGACTTCCTACACCCCAACATTCCCCAGATCCCCCAGAGCCCCCTTTAGGATTTTTCTGAAATTTGTACTTATTTGTATGAAACCCAAAAGAATATGATCAAACACTTTTTTTGTTCTGAAGGTTCTAAGGGGAGTATAGACCCTCCTAACCGCTTTCTTGGCCAGATGAGCTCCCTCATGCCCTCAGCCAGCGTGTGAGCGCCCAGAAGTGGTTTCCCACTGGGGTACATGGCAGAAATAGGAGGGTTCAGTGTTTAGACGATGAGGGATGAGGGTCCGTAGTTTGTAGGTTTCAGGGTAGAAGGCGGTTTAGGGGCTAAGGGTTTAGGGGTTGTGGCATTCGGGTTTAGGACAAAATCACCCCAGTGTACTTGCCAGGGCCGAGTAGACGGGCAGACTGCAGACGGGCGTGGGCTGTTACAAGATACAGGAATGGTGTAGGTTGGGGACATGGTTTCCTGGGAGTTCATTAGGCTTGGGGGGGGGGTGTAGGAATTCCTGCTCGTCTCAAGGACAGGCAGGCAGCCAGACGGACAGACACACAGACAACCAGGCAGCGAAGCACAAACAGAGAGAGAGCGAGAGAAACAACTAGTTCGGTGGAGGCTTCTGTCGCGGGACTTTTCGCTGAGACTGGGCACTCCAGGGATCTTCGGCGGGACTCTCTGTGGGCTAGATAGATGCACACACACACAGCATTGCAGCCGACGTAATATACTCTCACTCACTCACTCACTCACTCACTCACTCACTCGCTTTCCAAGCCCCAAACCCATGCACTGACCGCATTCACTCCACTCAGATGCCGAGCTTCACAAGCTCACGCATTCCTCACTCTTTGTTTCACTTGATTGGACGGATTTGCTGGGGCTGCTGTTTGTTACGGTTGGGTTGTGGTTCCTGGGTTCGGTTATGGGCCGGGGTTGTGCGCTATACATTGTTGGGCTGATTGGTGCGGTCTGTGCTTGTCTGCTCGTTTGTTCGTTAGCAGGCTGTGGGCTCGGTTTCTGGTTTGGTTGACTCATGGGCGGTTTCCTGGTAGCACCGCGGCATCCTTTTTGCTTCACTGGCTATAGCCAGACTTCCAACTGGGATTCCAGCACAATAAATCCAGGGCTTCCAGACAAGCATTTTGACTTTTCAACTTGTTTATGTGGACATGCCATGCCATCTGGCTCTTAAGTTCTCTTCAGCCTAGAGCACCGGCCAGCCTAGAGCACCGGCCAAAGGAAAGTATTCTGTTGACTCTGTTGACACGGGGTGACCATGAATGTCCCTCCTAGGCACAGAACCTTTTTTCAAGAGAAAAGGTAGAGTGCAAAGCTGCAGTCCAGACTTTAGCAAAGCACATGAACAGAGTGAGTCCAAGTTGTGCAGGACAATCCGCCTAGGTTCCCTAGGTTAGGGGTACAATATGGCCTCTTTCTGGAGCTTCTACTTAGGGTACGCAGAAACGGACCATGTATGTACATGTTTTATATATATATATATAGATGTAATAAGTTTAGAGAACTATTCCTCTAACCTCTTGAGCACATCTTTCAGCCCCTTCTGAGGCGGTTGGCTCTGATGCCACGGCTACCAATATCTACCTTATCTCCATGCCTGGGCCTTGGCAATCTGCTTCAGGCATTCTAAACTTGTAGCATGATCTACAATTTACTTCTAAGAGCGAGCTTCTCCTCAGGCCTAAACCTTAAACCCTAAACCCTAAACCCTAAGCCCTAAGCCCTAAGCCTATAAACCTTAAACCCTAAACCCTAAACCCTAAACCGCTGTCTAAAATGGCCCCCCCAAAAAGCTTTCAGGTCTAGGTAGGCGGTCCAGGCGCCTAGGATGGTTTTTTGGGTGTAGGTTGGGATTTGCCCCCCTATACTACCAGGCCTTAATGGGGATGATCGTACCCCCTATTTTAATCCCTATGAAGGACTGTTAGTATAAGGGGAACATCCCAAGGTTTAGGATGCATCAGGCTCTCCTCTTCGGAAGACCTGCCTGCGTCTACGCTGGCAACCTGCTCCGTCGTCAACTTTGTTGCCTGGCTGAACCCCAATCCCCTAAACCCTACACCCTGAACCCTTAGAGCATGCGCTGTTGTTCTTCCCTAGGGTTTGCAGTCTCTTCTTGCCATTCTACTCTACTCTACAAGCTTTAGGCCCTCTACTTATGGTGCAAGCTGACCTTTTTAATTCCAACTGCCAGCGCCTCGAAGCCGGTGCGCCTGCCAGACCCTGACGCAGAACGGGCTCACCCAGCGCCTCCTCGATGGCATCGTGCGATCCGAGGCGGGGGTTGAAAGAAAATTGGGAACCTGAAAATAGACCCCGAGATAGTAGGATTCCCTTATGATAAGGACCCCCCCCAGAAGGTACCCCGAACTCCCGGATTTCGGAAACACCCAGGTCAGACTTTGTGCGTTTGGTTTGGTTTGTGTCGGTTTGAAGGTAAGGGCATCGGGTCTTTGACGGGACCTCTGCATCGGCGCACGAGTCCTTTCTCGTCAGCTCCCTACCGAACGGTCGATCTCGCCATAATGTCCTTAAATGCGAGCATTGCAAGCCGTAATAAAGGGCATGTAAACCTATGAACTCTACACCCTACACCCTGAACCTTCATGCCAGAACTACAAGTGGACCCTTTGGGTCAGACCCCTCGCACCGGACCAGTGCAATCCAAGCTCTCCATGCCAACAGGCGCCGAGTCTGTATCAAGAGCGGGGGTCCCCAGTGGGTGGGCTCAGGGTTAGGGGGTTTAGAGCTCATAAGTTGTATTGGTTTAGGGTTTAAACTTTAAACAGCAGGGAAGGGACTGTTGTGAGGCGGAGTTTTCGGCAAATAGGTAGGGCATACAGTATTCGTCAGGTATGGGTTTCTTCACAACAGTCCTCTGGTGTAGTAGTGTTCATAGTAGTACGGGTTGAGGCGGGAGGGGGCGGGGCGGATTGAGGTTTAGGGCTTGGGGTTGTGGGACCTATAGGTGCTTAGGACGACAGTTTTCCGTGGGGGTTTACGGCTAAATTAAGAGTTTCGCATGCGGGGGTTTAGGGTTTAGGGTTTAGGGTTTAGGGTTTAGGGTTTAGGGTTCTGGGATGTTCGTTCTTCCTCTGCTTGTCATCTCCACAGTCGCTGATTCGTCCCAAGTGCGAAGCTCCTGAGTCGAGCCGGGGGTTCGTGACCAGGGTTTAGGGTTTAGGGTTTAGGGTTTAGGGTTTAGGGGTTTCGTCCTTTTCTTTTTTTTCAGAACAAGCGCAGGTTTAAGTTTTTTTCTGGGGTATCATTCTGTTTGAGTGTTGAGGGTTTGGGTGCCGATGGTTGAAGACGCATGCTTTTCTCTAAGCCCTAAGCCCTAAACCCTAACCCTAAACCCTAAACCCTAAACCCTAAACCCTAAACCCTAAACCCTAAACCCTTTCTGACAAAAAGGCGGCTTGAGTTCGTCAAAGTAGGTCTGGGTTTTGGTGGGTGCAGGTGAAGGCTGGACGGAGGGCATTTAAGTCCTAACCCTAAACCCTATAAACCCGAACCCTAAACCCTAAACCCTATAAACCCTAAACCCTAAGCCCTAAACCCTAAACTTTATGTATATTGTCAGCCTGAATCCCGACCTAATCCATCAACATCACTCCGAGCCAACAAACGGCAACCCCCACTCCGCACCTGAAACCTCAACCGCCTCTCGCCCCAACCCCTCCCCACCCAAGCCCCAACCCCTCCCCCCCCAACCCCCCCAAACCTCCCAAACATGCGCCAAAAACCCTGGGCCCCAAAGCTCGAAAACCTAACACCCCCCCAGAACACCATGATCCCTAAAACCCCCACAAAAACCCCATATCAAACCTCATAAAACCACACTAAACCCTAAACCCTAAACCCTAAACCCTAAACCCTAAACCCTAAACCCTAAACCCTAAACCCTACAAAACCATGGGGAGGCTCCAGAGGCTGTACCAAGCCAAGCCATGGGATGAGACGAACGTGCGAAAGGCTGAGGCCGCCAGTTAAGGGTGCTACAGGTTTAGGCGCCCCTAAACCCTAAACCCTAAACCCTAAACCCTAAACCCTAAACCCTAAACCCTAAACCCTAAACCCTAAACCCTAAACCCTAAACCCTAAACCCTAAACCCCAAGCCTTGAATCCCACGGCTCTTGGCTCAGTTTGCTTAGGCGGCGTTTCTTTTTTTGTTTTGTAGGGTTTTTGTGGAGGGGGCAACTGGGGGGGCAAACAAAAGCCTACAGCCTTAAGCTCCCCAAATGAGCGGGTTCCCAGCAACGACTCAACGCGATGCCCCAGCATTTTTTGAGGGCTTTGAATTCAGGACTCCGGAATTGAATAGACACCTCCTTTGCATGAAAGTTATAGCAATCCCCCCCATAGAAGACACTTGAGAACCCGCCTCCGGAACCGGTCTTTTTGCCCTAAGCCTTCAACCCTCAACCCATTTGTTCTGTTTCCAGCTTCCAGTCGTGGGCGCCTATAGACTTAGATGGACACTTTCAACTCCGGGGGGTAGGGTTTATAGGGCTTATGTTGGGAGGTTCCCCTTTTTCTAACAGCCCTTATTGGGGACTATAAGAGGGTGCTAGAATCCCTATCAAGGACTCTTAGTCTAAGGGATCTAAGGGGGGAACATGGGCTTATGGGAAGAGCGCCCGCTGAGAGTGCAAGAATTCTAAGACAGCTGGAGACTTTGTGGTGGGTCCTTGGACAAAAGGGTTGGATTGGCATCCAGGAAAGGACCTATTCGAAGGTTTCAAGCCACCACCACCACCCTCACCATACAACCAGTAAGCAAGAACACGCACGCTTCTACTGTCCTTGTGGTTATTTGGTAGCCTATGATCCCTCAGACCCTATAAGGGTCCAGGTGCCTTTATAGTATATACTTGGGCCCTAAAGGTACTACATATGAGAACCCCTTTAAGGCCCAAGTATAGACCACAGAGGTACATGGATCCTGAGGGAGAGCTTTCAAATCGCGGTCAGGAACAGCTGTTGAAGATCCTCGCGGAGAACAAAGGGACGCGACCTCATCACACGCGGGCATACCCAAAGGCTCCCATGTAGTTCCTCTTTGGGTTAGTTATAGGGGATTCTAGTATGTTTTTTGGGTTAGTTACTTAGGGGATTTTAGTATGCCACCCCAGAAAGGTACTAGATCGGAGCCTTTGGGTATCATCTCGACACCCCAAGCGCCGAGAACGCAGCAGAAGACGCGACGCCGTCCCTCAAACCTGAGGTATTTTACGCCAAGGTTGTTCCCTTTACTCCCAGCATGGCGCTTGCTAGTGCATTCCCTATCTATAGTATTGTTTACCCCAAAGTCAACCTTGGCGTCGCATCTCCAGATGAGGTCGATTCTGTCTGGTGATGCCGTGGTTGGGGGCCTCGCGACCATGGAAGATGCATGGACTCTTGACTTCATAACATATATATATATATATATATATTTATTTATTTATTTATTAAATTTATTTATATTTATATTGTGTACATGTATAAGTATGTACTTCTTTGTTGAGCAAGCTCTGCCCTTACCAAAGTGCAAGTGATCTTCGTTATTGGCAAGATCTGAGAGCCGCACATGGCGTCGTCGCTCTCGGGTTGTAGAGGGCGTAGAAGGGGTCCCCTGTTTAAGGGCCCATACTAAGGGACCACATAACTACCCCAAGATTTTCGGCTGGAACCGAGAGAGCTTGTTGAGCATCGAAAGTTTAGGGTTTAGGGTTTAGGGTTTAGGCTTTAGGGTTTAGGGTTTAGGGGCTCTCAGGCTCAGGCAGTGGGTCAGGGGGGCCAAGAGGCCTCCTCGAGGCAATGCAGCGCCGATGGTATCAAACGAAGGATGTCATGCCTGAACCTCAATAACTGGGTTGGTTTTTGGGAGATTTTTCCTTATTGGGTTTATAACTGGGTTTTGGAGTACTATACTTTAATACTTCTTTTTGTTCTGGGCTCCTATTATTGCTACCTAGTACCTAAAATGTATATACTTTTTTTCCAGGGTCTACTCCAAAGCTAAGATAAGGGACCCTGTATATAAATATATTTCAGAGGGTTTAAAGGCCAACCCAGATAAGTCAACTTCGGAAGTGGAAGACAGCACGGGTAAGGTATATATGCATAAACTGACTGCCAAACTTGTTCCTGCAGGGCTAGATATGCAAACTCTATTATGAGCCCTTAGTATACTCAAGGGTGTGGTATAATGGAGGGGCCTGAGAGACAACCCCCAATAGGGGATGGGGGTTATTCTACAAAGGGACCATAAGGAAATACTGCTAGTAATGATTCGGACCCCTATAGTAGAGGTGTATTTAGCCCCCCCCTGCCTCCTGGGTAACCCCTGGGCTGCCCAGGAAGAACTTCCACGCCACACAGCCGCAGTTGGGTTTTTTGTTCAGGGTTGCTATGGAGTAACCAAGTAGACCAACCCTTAAAGACAGGTACTTATTGTGTATATATATATGTATATATAGTGTATGTGCATAGTGTTTTTACACTGCTTGCACCCTTTCTTAAGGTACAACTTTGCTCCAGGTAGTTACGGGTTTACCGCCGAAGTGGGCGGTGCCCCCCCCCCCCCCCCCCAGGAACAGTGCTCACTCAGCACCCAGACTCCCATTTCTAGGGTTAAAGGGCCCCTGGGTGGGGTTGGTGTCAGTTTAATGGCAAGCGAATTATAAGCTTCATTAAGGGTCCGTTTCCTCCCGCTTGGGCTGTCCTGCGAAACCTGGCACGACGTCATGGGGTTTGGGTTTCGGGTGTAGGGTTTACAGGGCTTCTAGTAGCTCAGGCCAAACTGGTCGGACAGGCACCATCCCCCACATCCGAGCTCACATTCCTGCAGGGCAATTCTTGGCCCATTCCTGTTCAGCGTATGTCAATCGTGGACGATATGGGGCCGCCAGACAAAGTTTGGCACCGCTGAGAAATGCAATGTAGTCCTGTGTTGCCATCAGCTTGCGCCATGTGTTGTTGACTGCGATCGCTAGTCCAGGCCATGGGGCTTTACAATCTCTAGGCATTAGAAGCCCTCATTTCGCGCGGAGAGCCTAGAACAAAAGCCGTTCGGCTTCGGCAGTGTGTCTAGGGACCAAAGGAGGGGACCCTTACAAGGGACCTTAGGGGTTGTTTGCGGGTTATGTAGGGGCTACTTGGGTATATAGGGACTATACAATATAATATATATATATATATATAATGTAATATATAAAATCTAACATAATATAATATAATATAATATGGGGACTATATAAGACTATATCAGATAGGGGTTGCTTGGGGGCTATGTATGGGCTACTTGGGTACCTCAAGTCCCAGCCAGGCTGTGGCCTCCCGCCACAGCTCGGCATTCGAGGCGCGTGGGGCGGGTCCTGCTGAAGCTCTTGAATGTAGGGTTTAGGGTTTGGGGTTTGGGGTTTGGGGTTTTGGGTTTTGGGTTTAGGGTTTAGGGTGAACATTTGGGTCCGCGCGGTCTTTAGACAGAGCGCCAGCTAAGTTGCTGCAATAAGAAGGGCAAGATGATGCCGATGATGCCCACGTATTTACGTCGTGGTAACCTGGTGTGAAGGCAAATCCCCTTGATGGCCTATCGTATTAGCCAAGTATAGCTGTACTTGCTTATATCCATATTAGGGCACTTAAGGGCCTATAAGTGGGTTATAAGTACAGCTATAATTGGTTACCAAGTACCATGAATCTCCAAGTAGTGTAGGCCCTCGGCCTCCTGCTTCGAGAGGCTTGAAGCACGAGAAATTCGGCACACATTGTGTCAGTTTACTGTAGAGTTCAGGGACATCAGAATAGGTTTAACCCTAAACCCTTAACCTTAAGCCCTAAACCCTGAACCCTACACCCAAAAAAAACTTTTACGATCTTCAGGGGTCGTAGTCTCGGACCAGAGGCTTGAGACAGCTCGGCTGCTGCGTCCGGCGATGTCTTATGTCACGCTGTGATTGCATTCATCCGCATCATATGGGTATTTCCCCCAGAAGGGGCACCCATAATATACACCCAAAGATATAGAATTCGTATTTTGAAGGATTCCCCAACCAGGGTACCCCAATTTTCGGAAGCCCCCACATGCTCGTACCTTACCGAAGAATGGAACGACGCTCATGGCTTTCAGCACCCCAACCCACCGTGGCATGTCGCCAAAGGCTGCCAAGCGTTCTCTTCGATGCTTGCATCGCCTAGCGACTCGTCTGCCTTCATGTCGACGATGTGCATCCTGTGGCACGAGAGATCTACGCAAAACTCACCAGAGCCTAAAAATGCTAAACCCGTACCCTTAACCTTGGTCGTCAATGGGCCAGCCTGGACAGTCTTGAAGACAAAAGTCTAGTCCAGATACAGCAGATTCTGTAGATGGAGTGGGGAAGGGCATTCAGATCGATGTGCATTTCCGCCTTCTTGAATGAACTATTTATATCCCTAAACCCTAAACCCTAAACCCTGAACCCTGAACCCTGAACCCTGAATGAACTTCTGAATGAACCGTTTATACCAGTCAGCCTGCACGTCGGTGCCTGCAGGCCATGAGTTGTGTGCACCCCTGCCCAACCTTGTCAAGCCTATCGTTCATCATGTCCAGGGGCACCCTGGGCCTGCTAAGCTCTATAGGGTTTCGGGTTTAGGGTTTAGGGTTTAGGGTTTATTTAGGGTTCATAGCCCAACGAGTTTTAAACCCTAAAGGGTCTATAACCCTATAAAGCCCAAAACCCTATAGAGGACTTTAACCCTTTGAACCCTGAACCCTGTAGGGCTCATAACTCTTACAGGGTTTATAACCCTGATAGGGTTTCTAACCCTTACAGGGTTTATAACCCTGTACACCCTAAATCCGATAGGGCTCATACCCCCACAACCACCCATGCCCGGCCTCAGGTAAGGCCACTGGCGCTGTTTCTTGAGTCGGCGGAGGTCGATCCGCGTGAGCACACCTATGCGATCCCCGAATGGTATTCGCAGTAGTAGCATTGTTTAGGGTTTAGGGTTTCGGGTTCAGGGATACCTTCTTTGGGTGGTTCGGGTTGAGGTTTTTGTTTTGCCTAGCCGGTCTTTGGATGAAACAGCAGATCTGTGGGCCCTCGGGTCTAAGCAGGGTTTATAGGTTTACGCCATAATGAAAATGTGTAGAGTTGCGAAATAGCACAGTTTCCTTGTTTTCGACACTGATTGAAGCTTCTAGCCCCTGCCAAGCGAAACACCAACCGAGCAACGACATCACAGGCTGGGGAGCAAACATTTGTCCCCAGGAACAGTCGTTCAGTGAGCAATCCAGGCTTGAACCTTCAATGACCTCACCAACCGCCCCCTCCCCCTCTGCAGGATCACTCTAAACCTTGCCGTTTGCTCAGGGTTTTGAATTTGGAGTTGTGTGACAAAAACAGGCGCTCGCCAAGCTCAATCGGTTCTACCGGCCGTCTGCCACACAGGCCTTTCACGGAATCTTGAGGATTCGGAGGGACATGGGGGGAGGGGGGGCCAGGGAGGTTGTTGTAACCCAAGTGAACAACCCTAAACCCTAAACCCTAAACCCTTTGTGCAACAGCTTCTCAGGGGAGTATTGTAAAGGGCTTGGGTTATGTATACATCATCTGCAGCTCTGCGTTGACACAATTGAGCATGGCAGGGGGCCGGCCGCTCTTCCCCCCCCCCCCCCAAAGCTGAAGTTTGGGGTGTTGGGTTTAGGGTCAAGACTTGATTGTACCTTAGGTCAAGACTTGATTGTATTTTCTTATCACCAACCCGGATTCGTTTAGCAACTCGCTACTACCCCTGTACACCTTTAAGTTGGAGTGCTCGGGACCTTACCAGCCCCACCGAACACAACTGCTTTCCTCCTCACTGCTCACAGGTTTAGGTTTAGGAGCGACGTTTAGCCGAAGGCAAGTTGCAAGCAGGCTGAACGTGATGAGAAGTGACTTACTCTGCCGATGAGTGAGCGTGCTTCTTCTGCTTCTTCTGGTGCAATAGTTTTCCGCACTGGGGGGGGGGGGGGGGGGGGGCGCCAGAACGTAATCTGATGCTCGCAATCCGGGTTGTTTGACCATACAAGGTCACCCGAAGCCCTAAAACCCTTGAACTGAAACCCTACAAGGTTTGTCAAGCTTTGAAAGGTGGCCATTGCTGCTGCAAAGGCACTCCAGCTGGGTTCCTTCGGAAGGTTCAGGGTGTATAGGTTCATTGGGCACAGCTCGCGTATGGACTTGGCAGACCTGGCGCCCGGATTTCATGGCTGAAGGGGGGGGGGGGGGGGGGTTCCGATGAAGGCTCAAAAGGGGGCAGGCCAAGAGGCCAGGGGGGGAACATCTTAGGGTTGAGGGTTTAGGGTTTAGGGTATAGGGTTTAGGGTTTAGGGTTTAGGGTTGGCCAGCGTTGTTGCAGCTTGTTACAGTGGTACTTCAGCGCTCAGGTTCGCATCGGCGAAGAATGGTTTTTGAGGGCTATCGATGGCTCACCTGGCTTCTGTCAGTGTCGGAGTAGAAAGTGAGCAAGAAAGAGAGATAAAGAGAGAGAGAGAGAGAGAGAGAGAGAGAGAGAGCGAGCGAGCGAGAGAGCGAGAGAGCTCGCAGTGCAGGAGTGCCCGCAGTGCACGTCGTGACATGTTACGAGCGCTTGCACCTTTTCGAGTTTGGTTCGAAGCTCGTCGTAGAGAGCTCGTAGCAGCTGCAACCTCTTTGCAAGTTTGTCGGACCCGCCCACTCCGCCCAAATCGGTGGGGTAGCAGGATCTGACTGCGCCCGATCGGGTTGCGCAAGATCAAGACCTGCCGCCGCCTGCCGATGTCCCGCCAAAAGAGGGCGCCTGTCGCGCAGGATTGTATGTAGGGTGCGACTGATTGCGAGTGTGTTGCGTCGCTGTGCAGTTGTGAGTTGGTGCGAGTGCTTCGCGCGAGTATGTCCGGGGCGCGCAGACTGCGCGGGTGCGGGGGAACCCCTGACCACATGCCCCCAAGAAGGAAAGCAAGAAAGAGGGGCCGTGAGAGAGTGAGAGAGAGCGAGAGAGAGAAACCGCCGGGCAGAAAGCATGTGTGTGTGTGTGTGCATGTGTTTGAGAAATCGTTATCTATTTAGGTATGTATGTATTTGTGTATGTATTTATATACTTTTTTTTTTTTTTTATTTATTTTGCGTTTATTTGTGTCTTTGATTATGTATTTTATTCTCTTATATTCATTGATAGGTTTATGTATTTATTGATTTATTTACATATGTATTCAATTGTTATTCTGCACATATATATAGATATACTATGAAAACTAATCTTAAACCCAAGTCAGAACTCAAGCTGCCCGAAGAAATTCTGAGCGTCTAGCCAGGCTCTGGCACAAGCATCCCAGCGCTCGGCTACACTGGAGGAGGCTGCCATCAGAATCACCAATTGACAGAGGTGATGTCGGCGACACGGGGTTCAGGGCGTAGGGCCTCGGAATCACCAGCTGACAGACGGGATGTGGACGTCTACAGGCTTCAGAAATTATGGGACGCCAGCGCAGCAATAAATGTTTGTACATTCTGAGAAGGCTTCCTCCTATCACTTGGGTGGGGGAATGGTTCGTTGGTTGGCCTTCGTTCAAGCGTGCCCATTTAGTGCAGGAACAAGCGGTTGTGTGGCTTGTGTCTTGCAACCGGTAACTGTAAACCGTTTACCCTAAACCGCACAGCCTACACCCCAAACCCTGTAGTCTTCGTTCTTGTTTCCCTCTTCCCTCACTCGGCTGCGCTACCCTTCCATTGTGACCCCCCACTGCCTGAAACTCTACCTTGAGAACCTCAGAGAACCTCGAACCTACTGGTTTTGGGTCGCTTTCCTAAGATTCCTATAAGGTGCTTCATATCAAGACCTACAGAAAAGCTGAGGGTAGAAGACAAAAAGCTGGTCGTATTCAGGCAGTCTCAAAACCCAGAACTTGCGAAAGCCAAGAGCTGGTGCTAGTACCACCCACTCAGCCATCTTGGTGTGGAGGTAGCTGACGAGGACTGCATGGAGGAGGCAAGCCACATGCCGAAGACTAAGGTGCTTAACGGGGGTGGGGAGGGGAGGGGTTCAGGATTCCGAGAGCATGCGCATGCATGATGTCACTCATCTTTAAGAGGCTTGGAGGCCTCAGAGGTCTCCCCACCCCCCCCATCAGGCTGCAACCTCGGATCCGTGCATCCGGGGGATAACTGGGTTGGTTTATGGGACATTCTTATTTTCCTTATTGGGTTTATAAGGGACCCTATATATATATATATATTTTTTTTTTCAGAGGGTTTAAAGGCCAACCCAGATAAACACCCCTGAACTCTGACCACCTTGAAGGACCAACGGGAGGCAGCCATGGAGTCCCTTGGGACAGCGGCCATGTGGGAGGCAGCTGCAGCCAGAGAGGTTTTGGGGGTTTAGGGTTCAGGGTTTGGGGGTTTAGCGGTTTAGGGATTTAGGAGTTTAGGGCCTCGGGCTTCGCGTCGAGGGAACCCAGGCTACCCCCACCCTGTCGACGCTCTTTGCACCACGAGAAGGCTTAGATGAGTTCGAGTCGAGGGATATTTGGGGCGTATTCTGGGTGGGGTTGGGGGTGGAAGGAGATCCCACACTTCGGGGTTAGTATGGGGATGCCTCAGAAGGATTGAAGGCGCAGGGCGGCGACATGACCTTGGTTTTGTCTTTCGTGGCTGGTGTATCAATCGGTCGAACTGAGGCCAGGGTTTAGGATTTTAGGATTCAGGGTTCTTATAATCAGTAAATGTAGCAAAGCCTAAACCCTAAACTCTAAACCTTATAAGCGCCAGGTGTTCCGTTTCCTGGCCAAGTCCCTTGACACCCCGCACCGGCTCCCCTTTGCCTTCCTGTGTGCGGCGGCCGCCTCAGTCTAGGCACCATTCAGGGGCTTCCGAGAACAGGAGAAACAGTGCTGGGAGTTCCTACAATAACGCCACCCCCCCCCCCCCCCCCCCCCCCCCCCCCCCCACACCTGACAGTCCCCGGTTTTCTACTGTAGGGCTCCAGGTTCCGACTGAGTCAAACCCAAACCCTAAACCCTAAACCCTAAACCCTAAACCCTAAACCCTAAACAGCCTACTCGAGGTCGCCCTGGCTCGCCACTGCAATGGCACGCTTGAGGATGATCAGCTGGAACTGTTTTGGAAGGCCGAAGATGGGGGGGGGGGGCATATGAAGCAGGGTATATATTACTGTTGTTGGTGAGTGTATATAAGGTTCCTTTTTAATATTGGTGAGTGTATATACTTGGTGGTCTTTTGGGGATACAAGAAATATATAAACCCTACTGCATATGATGCATGTAATACTACATATCATGCGCCTGGTATGTATATATTGTTTTCAATATACTAGTATTCTTCATTATTGTATGAGATCATTTTTCCACATCCACCCCTCCAGTTTAGGGCTCCGGGTCAAGGATTGCAATAGGGGTTTAGGATTCAGGAATTCGGGGATCTCTGTCGGGGACACCCCCCCCCGCCCCCGCCACGCAGTTTGCTCCGCAATGAGTGGGCTTTTCCTTATTTACTCTTACCCCTTTGACTAGGGTAGACCCACTCCTACTCCTACCCCTACTCCTACTCCTACTCCTACTCCTACCCCTACTCCTTCTCCTACTCCTTCTCCTACCCCTAGCCCTACTCCTACCCCTACTCCTTCTCCTACTCCTACTCCTACTCCTACCCCTACCCCTACTCCCACTCCTACTCCTAGCTCTACCATGCCAGGGCCACCGGGCCGTTGAGCCCCTTGCGGCAAAGCTCAACGCACAGCGACAGAGCGCCGCTTCGGCCAAGGAGACCCAGGTGGCCGCCTCCAGGGTTTAGGGTTGAGGGTTTCGGGTTTCGGGTTTAGGATGGGTTTTGGGTTTTGGGTTTAGGGTTTAGGGTTTAGGGTTTAGGGTTTAGGGTTTAGGGTTTCGGGTTTAGGGTGTAGGGTGTAGGATGGGTTTAGGGCTTGGGGTGTTAAATCTCTGCGTGCCCAAATCCCGATACACTTGGTAGCCCCGTGGTACCCTGTACCCTTAGTGTTTGAAATGTATTCCGGATTCCACCCCAAAAAAGGGTACCCTTATAATGCGGTTACTGGGCTACTAAAGTACCTTGGCACCGAAAGTAGCAGACTTGTCGGAGCCCCAATATGGAAGGTATGCGCCGTTGTTATGGGAAGTCTGGGGTTCTCATGGTCAGGTTACTTTTTGAGCGTTCCTAACCCTGCACCCTAAACCCTAAACCCTAAACCCTAAACCCTAAACCCTAAACCCTAAACCCTCAAGCGAATGTAAGTTGAGACTTGTGACATCCTGAGCCAGCGAGCACGAGACCCTAAAAACTACACGATTTTACAAGCACAGCCCGCTGTACAAAATGTCATGCAACCTAGGTTGTACATGTTTTTTACAGTTCCGGGTTTCTTCTTGTTCCACATCTTCCAACTAGAGGGGCTCAAGCCTACGCTCAAATTCGGCATGCAGAAGCCCGGGCTCGACACAGGGCTGTAGGAAGATGTGCGCTCCGTCACAGCTGCTTCGCGCAAACTCATCGGTAAGGGTTTAGGGTTTAAGGGGATGCCAGTCCCCTAGACCCTAAACCCTCAACCCTCAACCCTCAACCCTAAATACCCTAAACCATAAATACCCTAAACCCTAAATACCCTAAACCCTAAATACCCTAAACCCTAAACCCTAAACTCACAGGGTTCAGGTTTAGGGTTCATAGCGTTGGCCAGGCACCTCCCAGGCTGATCAACCCCAAGCAGATCAAGTCCTCGCCCGACCAGAAGCTGATCCCAGGCTGCGCCCTAAACCCTTTAAACCCTTTAAACCCTTTCTAAACCCTTTCTAAACCCTTTTTAACCCTTTAAACCTTTTTAAGCCCTTTAAGCCATTTTTAAACCCTTTAAACCCTTTTTAACCCTGTTTAACCCGTTAAACCCTTTTAAACCCTTTTAAACCCTTTAAACCCTTTAGAGCCTTTAAACCGTTTAAACCCTAAACCCTAAACCTAAACCCCTGAATCCTGAGCCTCCCTAGTTCTTAGTCGGGAATGAGGGAATTAGGGCCCTAAATGTAAATATATATATATATATATATTTATTTCTTTATTTATTTATTTATTTATATACCCTTTAAGGGATCGGCCCTCATTCCCTACCAAGAACCAGCCAGGAGCCCTAGCTACCTGGGACCCTGTTTTCCTACAGATTTATGGGTTCTCCCTTCTAAGTAAGGGGTGAGACGAGTCCCAGTAAACCCTGAGCCCTGAGCTCGAAACCGTGACCCTAAGACACAACGCTGAGCGTATGTACCGCCCATAGCCTGCACAACTAAGCCAGAGTTTTCTTGGAGATGTCTGGAAGCCCGGAACTGGATCAGAACATGCGGTTCGGACCCCCCTTCTTGAAGTACTTCAATACTACGGGCCCTCATCTTTAGGCTCCCCGAAAGGCAACAGAAGGGGTTTAGGGTTTAGGGTTGAGGGTTTAGGGTGCGTTCCTACCTTCAGTTGCTCTCCTCGTCTTGATCTGCCCCTTTGCATGTTGAAGTCTGTTGATCAGCTGGCGAAAACATGCTCAACAAAACCGGCCTTTCTACCAACGGGATCCCCAAGCTCTTCCCCCCCCCCCCCCCCCCCCCCCCCCCGGCCTCGTTTAGGGTTTAATTAGGGTTTAGGGTTTAGGGTTTAGGGTTTAGGGTTTAGGGTTTAGGGTTTAGGGTTTAGGGTTTAGGGTTTAGGGGGCGTCAGGCCGACTTCTTCCGGCTGCCAAAAAAAGAAGCAAGTGCTCTGGAGGGGCAACTCGTAGCTGATAGAGAACCTGATTCTATAGGGGGATAGGATTAGGGGGACCCTTGGGGAAATAGACCCTCTGAATAAGGTCCCTTGTTAAGAGAGCCAGAAGAGGGTTAAGAAGGGGTTCCCGTTTAAAGGTCCCCCTTATCCCACCTGTCAATCTGCCCCAGATGCCATAGTGCCGCCATGGAAACATCTAAACCCTGAGCCTTTACCTAAAGGCTCTAATGTAGTTCCTTTTTGGGTTAGTTAAATGGATTTTAGTATACTACCCGAAAAAGGTACTACATAGGAGCCTTTGGGTAAACGCCACCGACCCTACACGCCAAAGTCTGAAGACTTCACGGGCAGGAGAGAAGTGGGAGCTCATTAACTTCCTTCCGCACGTCTTCCCAAACTTTCTTGGCCTTGCAGAGGACAAGCTTGCACCCTACACCGTGGGATGTTCCCCCTCATGCTAACAGTCCTTACTAGGGATTATCACAGGGGCTAAACCCTAAACCCTAAACCCTAAACCCTAAACCCTAAACCCCCAGTTAAGGGCTGTTAAGGGGAGAACATCCCAACCTACACCCGAAGCTCCACACAAAATACCCTTAAGCCCTCTGGCAGACCAATACCCCGGTTCGCGAATACAGAGTTCTGAATACGAAGAACATCTATCATCTATCCCTAAGCCCAAAACCCTAGACCCTAAACCCTAAACCCTAAATTAACGCTGTTCGGCTCTCTGGGTTGCTGTGTGTAGCTTCTTAAACCCGCAGTCCTACACCAGCGGCTTGTTCATTCGTTGCGTGTGTGGAACGCCTCCCAGGCACGAGTACACGACCCCCAAAAGTGCAGGTCTGCCGCCCAAGTAGAAGTCATTGGGCACAAGACTTCTTAGGGCCCTTGTGGCCTGCTCCTTTGCATCGCCAGTGCACCGGGATGCCGTTCCGCCTGTGTTGTTGCTGTCACTTGCTGCTGTAGGGCGATACTCCCGCCTACACCCCAGAAGCACCAAACCCCCTAAAACCTCAAACCCCGAACCCCTCTCCCTAAACCCTCAAGATCAAGCCACATGGGATGTACCCTAAACCCTAAACCCTACACCCTAAACCCTAAACCCTCCATGTGGTCCTCGACCCTAGGGTTTAGGGTACATCCGACAGCCCTCGAACTGCCACAGGCCCCAAGCCCTTCGCACCTCCAAAAAAGCCAAATCCTAAGCTCTACTTGAACGCTCCTGGGTCGGCATACCTAGGGTTCTAAGTACCCTAAACAAGGTTACCCGGTTATAGTTACAGCTAGGTACAGCTACTGATAACTACCCATGAACCTCCAAGTAAAGTCCCCAGAGATCCGAGAGCCATGCAAGCTGCCCCCTGCTCGGGGCACGGGGCCGACGACGAGGCCTGCTTCGGGATTGAGGGTGTTTAGGTTTCAGAGGCACAACTTGAAGTTTCCTGGGTACATATAAGTAAGTAGGGTTTGATGTACCTGAAGTATTGTTAGTATACCCGCACTCAACATCCAGAAATTGTTTCGCGGCCCGCTTTGCAACGCCAAGCGCACAGGGGTGAGGGAGCAACACCGCACGCCCTGAAACCTTAGGGTTTAGGTTTTTGGGGTTTGGGGTCTAATGCCCTGGCGCCCCAAAAGCCCAGAAGCCCTGAAACCCCAAGCCCCAGCCACTTGGACCAAAGCTCTGGATGGATACCCCGGTTGAACCCATACCCAGTAGTGCCTAGGGTTTAGGGTTACAGGGTTTTGGGGATCTAATTGCGGGGGGATGGGGGGGATGGATTGTGTATAGGGTTATCAAAGGTTTCCCCCTGTATTTGGAGATACCCATATACATCCGAGAGACCCTGAACCCTCAAAGGCCAAAATCCTAAACCTAAAACTCAAAAATCCTCAACCCTCTGCCACGAAAGCTGGATCGAGTGAGGAAAGCCTGCTGAGCACATCGCGGCCGCACGCCATGGCGTCGCCATGCCTGGGTACCTAGGACCCAGCCTACTTGAAGTTTCATTTCTGCACCTTGATCTACGGCTATCCTTCTGGCCATACTCGTACGCACCAGCCTGCTCGAGGCCGTAGGATGTAGGCGATATTAGGTGAGGGTTTGCGATGTAGCGAGTGCAGATCGTACCTTCTTGCCTTCTTGCTGAGGTTTTCTATCATACCTGAGTTCTCTAAATTAGCGGCCCTTTTTTGGGTACCCGAAATACCTGAACAGGGGCTGTCTTATCGTGAGGACCCCAAAAGGGGCCATATTTTGCAAAAGTGCCGACATATATTGTTCCTGGATCTAGCTTTCAGGGACGAGGGTGTTAAGTGTTCAACCCTAAGCTAAACACCAGTCCCTGATACCTCGTGTATTGTTGAGGTGGAGGGTTGGTGCCATGCTTTGCTTGCTTGCGACTTTGCAATCTACATACCATCATGAGGGTTAGGGTTTAGGGTTTAGGGTTTAGGGTTTAGGGTTTAGGGTTTAGGGTTTAGGGTTTAGGGTTTAGGGTTTAGGGTTTAGGGCGTGAGCCACTGCCAATACTCACCAATCCAGCCTGTCGAATTTGTTCTTGCCAAACCCGAAGGCTTGCGCCTCCGAGGTTTGACCTTGCCCGAGTGCCTGGTGTTTAGGGTTCATTTAGGGTTTAGGGTTTCGTGAACAGAATACTACAGATGCAGCATCGGGGTAATGCCTTTCGGCTAGGGGTCAGGCTCACAGGGCAAAGCTCTAGAAAAAAAGAATGGGATGTCCGAAACCTGGAACAAGGAAATCTACTGTCTAGAGGTCCATGACGACCCTGAACCCTAAACTCCTAAGCCCTTACTAAACCCTAATCCTAGACCCTAAACCCTAAGCTCTAAACCCTATATACCCTAAGCCCTGTACCCTAAACCGGGAGCCCTCTTCCCAGGGTGGCGGAGGCCACAGGGCAGCTGCCTCCTGCATCCCGGCACGCGCGGCCACGCCGCTCCCTGGTCACGCAGGCGCAGTCCTTGGCGTAGTATAGTGGCCTGAAAAAATTGAATAGGGTTTAGGGTTTAGGGTTTAGGGTTTAGGGTTTAGGGCTAGTGGGGCCAAAAATCATTAGAACAGGGTTTTGGGGACGATTACAGTATAAGTATAAAGGGACCCTAAGGGAATACTATTAGTATTTTTCCCAACCCTATATTATTTGGCGATCAAGAGTAGGGAATGAGGGATGAGGGTCCTGTATACTCCATAGAAGGTATGTATAATCTAGGGCCCGAATTCCATCATTCTATTACCCTTACAAGGAAGAATCTTTTGTGTTTTTCTTGGGTGGTTCTTAAGCCAAGTTTGATGCAAGGTTGGTGATGACAGAGGCAGCCAAAGCTCAACATGGCCTACGTGCAACCTGGGGCCCTAAACTACCAAACCCCTAAACCCGCCTTAGACCTGCAACCCCGAAACCGCCAACCCTATAACGTCAAACTCCGACATCATCAAATTTCCCAAACCCTAAGCCCTAAACCCTAAACCCTAGCCAAAATAGGAAACCCTAAGCCCTAAACAAGCCCAAGCCCTTGCAAAGAGCCTACATGGATGCCCAAAGGCCCCAAAACCCTGGTGGCAGGCCGGCTCTGGATCCTGGCGGCGGTTGCTGATCGAGCTGTGGCTGCTTGGCTGCTTGGGTTTAGGGTTTAGGGTTTAGGGTTTAGGGTTTAGGGTTTAGGGTTTAGGGTTTAGGGTTTAGGGCTCAGGGCTTAGGGCTTAGGGCTTCGGGCTTAGGGTTTAGATGCGGTCGCTAGGGCGTGTGCAAGGCCTAGGAAGGATGCCAAGTACATAGTACCTCGGTTCTTTGGTTTGCTTAGGCTGGGAATCGTGGCGGACGCAAGACTAGGCAGGCCCCTTGGAGATTTCGTATTTTCCCTTATTGCGTTTAAGAGGATCATATTCAGGAACATTCTTTTGGAGGGTTCGAAGTGCCATCCAAGAAGGTGACTTTCGCAAGTCAAATGGAGCCGCTAGGTGCAGATGCACGGGCTTGCGATGAAGGGTCCACACATTCAATAATGCTTCTTCTAAAGCCCTAAACTCTCTACTCTAAATTCTGATGACCTGAAGACCCCCGAAGCTGCCACTTCCGCTGCCGGAACCCTACACCGTGCAGATGCTAAACCTGCAAACGACGAAACCCTAGAACCCGAATATGTCGAACCAAGGTCAACAGGTCAACAGTTGTGAGTTCTGTAGTGCACTACAGAGGCGTACAACTTGAGAGATGGAAGCAGATGCCCAGGAATCTTTTTTTGGGTGTGCAGGTCGACATCCGTACTACATTTGGAGCAGAAGCCCTAAACTCCCTCCTCTGGGTACTTAGTATCTCTAAACCCTAAACCCTAAACCCTAAACCCTAAACCCGAATTTCCAGCAACCCTAAACCTTATTCTGAGTACCGAATTCTCTGGAGCTCCCAGGGACGGAAGAGCTGTCGCACCCGATGTGGGGCAATTTCGTCGGAATGCTGCCATGGCCGCCTGCAGGTGGCCCTCATTTTGCACGGGCTGGTGTAGAGTCTTGGGTTTAGGGTTTAAGGGTTTAAGGTTAGGGTTTTGGGTGTAGGGTTCTAGGTGTTTAGGGGTTAAGGGGTTTAGGGGTTAAGCGGTTTTAGGTTTAGGGTTTTGGGTTTAGGATCTGGGGTCTGGGGTTGAGGTGTTAGGATTTACGGCCTCGCACCCCCTACTCCTCTTGATACGGGTTCCGGAGCCCGCAAATCCTAATAGGGCATGGCATCATCGAGGATACTTGGTTTAGGGTTTAGGGTTTAGGGTTTAGGGTTTAGGGTTTAGGGTTTAGGGTTTAGGGGTTCTGGGAGGGTTCATAATTGTTTAGCATGGCCAGGCGTTGTCGGGCTTCAACTAGTGTTTTGAAGGATGGGTTGCGGGTCTTGGATTTTGTTTTCCATGAAACATCTTGCTTCTTGTCTGCGAGGGCAAGTGGATACAGAACATGAATATATCTTTAACATATGCACACCACATATGGAGCATTTCACCAAAGATGTATGCACCCTATCTGAAATTCCGGCCGGGTGATTGAAGATCTCGTAGGCTTCTATGCGTCCTGCTTCTTCGGAGGAAAGCCTCTCGGTGGCCCCACGCGCTGTGTCTTCTGAGCGCCCCGCCGTCCGCGGACGTGGTTAGCCTTTCGGAACCGCAAAAAAACTGTTGGACTCAAAAAACTGTTGAACTCTCGAACTGGCAGTTCGAGTGTTGAATATCTACTATTTGCTAGAGAACCCTCAATATATACAAGATAACAATCTCCATATTTTCCGTACAAGGAATATATATATATATATTTTTTATTTATTATTATTTTTTTTTTTTTGGGGGGGGGGGGGGGGGTGGGGGTTCTTAAGCAATTAGTAGTTGTGGTTTTGGACGATTCTGCTTCTGGGTTTGTGTGGCAGTGCTGTACACTGTACACCAACTGAATGCCCCGAGTCATCGATGCCCTTGCAAGGCCTACAAGGGGATCTTGAAAGTAGGCTTGAGGGATTTTGTGCTTTGCTCCACATTTCTGAGAAGCAGCCAACTCTTTCTTACTTGTCCAGGCTTCCAAGTACTCTTAACTCGGTAGGCCCTTGGGACGTTTTAGCTTTTCCCTTATTGGGTTTAAGAGGATCATATTCAGGAATATTTATCAGAAGGTTTTTAACGGCCATCCTAACTAACGAAGAACCCTCAACTCTGAACCCACTCCAAGGCTGCAACACCGCCATCATTGCCTGCAACTCCCCAGCACGCTGGACACTCGCCATTGGTCTCCTTCAAGAAGTTGAGGCTGGGATGTCCTGGTACAGGGTTTGGGGTTTAGGGTTTAGGGTTTAGAGTTTAGGGTTCAACGTTTAGGGTTTAGGGATGCCCCGGAGTACCCTATAACACTCCGTTTGGAGTACTTTTGCACAGTTTTTTTTTTTGGGGGGGGGGGTTCGGATTGCTCATCGACAGAAACCCTGTTAAATCTCGAACCGCACCCTTCTTCACAAGCTAGCTCGGTTACCGGGCAGCCGAGAGCCCAAATCAGTTCAAGCCAGAGTGCTTGGAGCTTGTGGCTTCGAACCCGAAAGCTCAGCCGACCATCCAACACAATTTCTGGAAGGGCGCCCGCACCCTAAACCCTAAAGTGTTTCAATCAGGGCAAGATGGATCGATGGCAGAGTGCTTTGGGCAGTTTCAGCCTTGGCCCTTCTACTCCTTCAACCAAGTGGGTTACTATAGGTAGTCGGAATAATTGCTAGTATTATTCCCGTATAGGGACCCTTTGTAGTCATAATTACCATAATAACCCCCAAAACTTAAAACCTTATTCTATATTTCTTTTCAGGCCCCTACATTAAATTAACCCCTTTGTGCCAGGCTGAAAGTACACATGTTGCAGAACCATCCCCAGATCCAACCCTGACACAGGACTGGGGTGTAGGATGCCCCAAGGGCATGTGGCCGAACAATTGCCGGCCCGAAGAAGCAAGCGGGTGAGATTGAGGTCTCGTTCATGTTAGCCATCAGAGGTAGGATGGAGCAAAATCAGCCTTGCCAGTTTTATCCCACCTTCCCCCCCTCCCCCCATCCCCTCGCCCCCTCTCCCCATCCACTTGCCCCCGCCCCCGCTCGCCCCCCCGCCCCCGCTCGCCCCCCCGCCCCCGCTCGCCCCCCCGCCCCCGCTCGCCCCCCCCCCCCCCCCCCCTTGCCCCTCATCCGTAAACCCGAAACCCCAAACCCCAAACCCAAACCCTGAACCCTGAACCTGAACCCTGCCTCTCTGACCTCCTCCTCCCTTCCCACCGCCCTTTTTCTACCTTCACCTTTCGGAGGTCATCGGACTGCAGCTCGATGCCGCTTGGGAGGGAAACGTTAAGGGCCCAGGATTTGGCGCCTCACCAAAGGAATCGTCCTGGGCCGTTTAGGCTTAGATGCTTATAGGGTAGAGAATTTCGGGTTCAGGGTTTGGGGTCTATAGGGCCTGCACTGGTTTGTTTGGAGCGCAATTGAGGTGTGAAGGCATTTAGGGGTTTGAAGCGTATAGAGGCTCTAGGATACTGCGGGGGAGGTCGCTACTCAATCCCAGGTGATTGGCCTCAACTCTGCGATGAGCGCAGCATCAGCGGCTCAGGCAACTGGTGTGGGGTTCAGGGGACACGTAGGGTCTGGCTGAGCACCCTTCACCTCAATTGCGCCCCAAAAAAAACAGTGCGGGCCCTATAGACCCCAAACCCTGAACCCGAAAGTCTCTACCCTATAAGCCTAACGGCCCACGACGTTTAGGATGTTTTTGTGTCTGTGCTGTTTCGGGCGTTCTGGGTCCAAAGCTGTAGTGCCAGCAGGCATTCAAGAGCGAAGGAACTCCGAGGCAGGTTGAGTATCAGCATGAAGATCCATGCCTGACAGTTCACGAGTCAGCACATCAGGCATACACCCGGTGGATTTACAAGCACACCCAAAAGCCTCAACCCCTACAACCCTACATTATGAGCCCTAGACCATCAACCCCAAACCCTAAGCCCCTCGATCTCCTCTCAAGCCCAAAACGACCGGCATTTTCCCAGACCAGGGGTACCCCTAATATATACCCCCACAAGACTCTAGCCATGATAGGAACCCTCAAAACAGGTACCCCCCCCCCTTTTTTTCGCCGAAGCCCGAACTAACCCCTAGTTATAAATACAAACCCCAAGCCCTAAACTTCCCAAACCTGTCAGAACCCCCCCCCCCCCCCAGAACGAAGCAGCCCTCTAGTCATAAATACACAAAGCCCTAAGCCCGAAACTTCCTAAACCTTTCAGAAACCCCCCCCCCAGAACGAAGCCCTATAGGTATGAATACAAAGCCCTAGGCCCTAAACTTCCTAAACCTTTCGGAAACCCCCAAACTCTTCCGAAGGCCTGGCGCCGGCCCTTGTCCCTGCTCCGCGACTTCGGCGCGCGGCGCCTCACCGCGTCGGCGCCTCCGCGTGGAAAGCAGAAGACCGGTTGTTGGAGTTGATAAGGTTTAGGGTTTTAATTTGGGTTCTGTATTTTGGGTTTTGGGTTTTGGGTTAGGGTTTAGGGTTTAGGGTTTCGGGTTTATACATGTCGACCGTCTAGGATAGCCTTCATGCCCTTCAAACAGCAGGTCCAGTGATGTCGCCCTTCTTCATGTTGATATGCTTTGATGACGACAGCGACGTTGATGATGAGTGCTGGTAGTGACGCTAGCCCCTCACATCCCCGCTTTCGTGGCACTGGACCATGGCATAAGAGAGCAAAGACTCTGCGGCCCGCGCCCCGGACCAACCGCAAGCGCTCTGAAAGCCTAACCATAAACCCTAAACCCTAAGCCTGAGACCCTAAACCATAAACCCTAAACCCTAAACCCTAAATCCTCAGCCCAGACGTTCTGGAGGCGTTTACTGCCAGCACCGCGGCCTCTGCTTGCGCTGTGGCATCGGAGTGGAAGGCTCCACAGCGCTTCCCCATTGACAAGGGCACATCGGAGGGTTTAGGGTTTAGGGTTGAGGGTTGAGGGTTGAGGGTTCGGGGTTGAGGGTTGAGGGTTGAGGGTTGAGGGTTGAGGGTTGACGGTTGAGCGTTGAGGGTTGAGGGTTGAGGGGTTGAGGGTTGAGGGTTTAGGTGGTCTTGGAGGTTCCCCCCCTGTAAACTAACAGTCTGCGGTAGGGGGGTACTGTAGGATCATCCCGAAGAAGGACTGTTAGCAAAAGGGGGGAACATCCCAATGTTGTTTTTTTTAAAGAAGGGGCCCTGCGAACTCCCACTTTTAAGGCCTGTCCAACGTTAGCATTGGGGGTCCCTTTCGGGAGATGTGTAGGGGGATTCTGCTAGATGTGGAGTGTAAAGTGGTACCCCCTGTTTGGCAAATTCCCAGGTATCAACGAAAGGGTAGACGTACCTGGTAAGTAAGGAAAGCTCACCTTCTGCACGGGTACTGTATGTTGTGCATGCGTAGCTTTCTCCCGGCCCAACGCAAGCGCCGAGAACTCGTAACCCAAGCGCAGAGTCCATCCAGGTCAGGATCGGAACTGTACCCCAAAGCGCGTAAGCCCTAAACCCTAAAAAGTTAGCAAACCTGCCAGCTAGACCTTTGCCTCATGTGCAATATCCTGCTCTGAGTCTTAAAAGGGTTTTGGGGTTGTGGGGGGGGGGGGGGGGGGAGGTGATCTAAGCTCAAGATAGCTACATCAATCAACACGATTACCACTCAACCTCTAGACTCTAAACCCAAAAGCCCCGCCGCCCAAAAGGTTGCCCTGGAAGTGCCCGGGTCCTTGGCCGTCTGCGGGGTGTCGCTGACGGCAGAGAGACACTTGGACCATTGCTGGCCGGGGGTTGCGGTCGTGTGGGGGGGATTGGGGGGGGGGTTGGGGGGGCACATAAGGTTTAGGGCTCAGAGGGTCGAAGAATTTGTTTAGTCGGTGTAGGGTTGCCCACTTTGTCTTCCGGATAGAACCCTGGAGTGCTTTCTTTCATTGGGATGTCGAGCTACATGAATTACGAGTACTTCTACCAGAAGGTAGCAAACATAGAGACAACATCTTCGGAAGAATGTTCATATCCTGCGGCGGTATGCCCTTCTAATTCAAGGGGTCAAGGCGCCGATCCCTTGCTACACTTATACAGCCAGGATAATGTAAGTGTTTTGGGTTTAGGGTTTAGGGTTTGGGGTTTAGGATTTAGGGTTTGTGGGATGTTCCCCCTCAGACTAACAGTCCGTAATTAATAGGGAGTATAGTACTCCCTGCTACAATCCTTAAGGACTGTTAGTATAAGGAGGAACATCCCAAACATATTGTCGTTCTTTTAAAGCAGGTTCAAAATATATACGATCGGAGCTTTACTTGAGGCCCGACCTCTTGTGAGTTTGTAAAGCCCAGCAAAAGCATTTGTGCTGCAGTGGAGTTTGCCTGGCTTGGTCGGAAACCAAACAAAAACCCCGATCACACCATCTACAAAGGACATTTCAAGGTAAAATCCGTGCAGCTCGAAAAAGGTTTTCTTTCCCTATCGAATTGTCGACCCTCCTACTTTGTTGAGCGGTTCCCGTTTATTGTGACCCTGACTTACGTCTACTGTCAAATCGCAGCAGCAGCACCACCACCAACCACAGTACCATTGCAATCCCTTCTCCCCAAATTCAGGCCCCCCCCCCCCCCCCCCCCCGCCCCCAATATTAACATATTTTCGGGGAGGGGATGAATATAGGGGTCGGAATAATTTTCAGTGGGCGGAGGGGATGAACAAAGGGGTCGGAATAATTACGAGTAGTCTTCCCTTATGGTCCCTGTGTAATCATACTAGAAACCTATTTATAATATTGGGGCTTAGAGGATTTAAATCAACTTGGCTCTTACATGATGTAGCGAAAGCAGCTCCTCAGAGTCTCACGAGTGCGCGTGCCATAAGCAATGCTTTCAGATTCTCCCGAACGCCCTAAAAAAAGCCCCCAAACCCTAAGATCCCAAAGGCCGGCGGCCGAAAAGCCTTATAAGCCCTTACCCCTTAGATCCTAAACCCCAAGCTCTAAGACTCTAAAAGCCTAACGTGCTAAGCCCTGTAAGATCCCTAAGACCCTAAAAAGCCTAAAGCCCCCAAACCTTGCAAGACCCCAAACCCCACACCCTGAGACCCTAAAAGCCCAAAACAATCAATCCTCCGTCCAGAACAGTCGGGTTTCCGAGGCCTCAACGCGGGTCAGAGTGGTTGCAGCAAAGTCGGGGCCTGGGGCAAGGCTCTGAGCTTCGTCGAATGCCTCAGGCGCTTACGATGGTTTGGGGTTTAGGGGTTCGGGGTTTAGAGGTTTAGGGGTTTGGGGTATATGTTTTGGGTTTAGGGTTTAGGGCTTTATGGCTTGGGGTTTAGGGCCTCACAACCGTCGCAGGAAGACATAGTCGGACTCCGGATGACGTTGTGAGCAAGGGCTCCAATTTAGGGGCAATGTACGCTGACGGGTAGCTAGGGGGCACATCCTTGTAGGAAAACCCTAAACCCTAAACCCTAAACCCTAAACCCTAAACCCTAAACCCTAAACCCTAAACCCTAAACCCTAAACCCAAACCCTAAACCCTAAACCCTAAACCGTGTGTGCAAGACCTGAATTCTCAACCTGCATTGCCGACAGGTGCCAAGTACTACAGCCTGACAAGACAAGCTGCATCCTGAAAGCACTAAAGTTCAGGGCAGGATGACTTCATACTGCCCTTATCGGATACAATGGCAAAGAACATGATGTGGCTCAAACATCATGCATATTTGTATTTGCTTGTGGTTATTTGTTTTTGTGTACTGTTGTCTGCCCGCTACTTCTTGTGATTCCGTTGGGTGTTTACGGCCCTCAACCCCAACTCCCAAAAGACCCCAAGCTCTTCAGAGGCTCTACACTCTACATCTAACCCTAAACTCTAAACCCTAAACCCTGAACCCTAAACCCTGAACCCTAAACCCTAAACACGAAACCCTGAACCGCGCTGCGGCTCCTTCTCCTTCACACCGCATCGTTGCTCCTAGAGAGTTGGGAACTGGAACCTCCTCACACCAGAGGGCTTGGGGCCTTTTGGGGTTCCGAGGGAAGTTATTACATGGTCCCTTAATATGGGCCTTACTTTAAAAGGGGACCCCGTATACACCCCTTACATACCCTTTCAAACCCAAGGGCCCATACTTCAGAAACAGGTTTGTAAGGCTTACCCCAAGCCCCAACAGCCCCAACACCAAAGCTCGAGGGTTTGAAGTTAGAGTTTAGGGTTAAGGGAACCATCAACGCCCAGACAGCCCAACACCCCTGAAATACAGCGAAGGCCTTAAACGGGCCTCAGTCCATCATGAAGGGGGATGGCGCCTCTCTGAACTGAAGCCCTAAATCAAAAAACGCTCGAAACCCACAACCCTAAACCCTAGCCCTAAACCCTAACCCTAAACCCTAAACCCTAAACCCTAAACCCTAAACCTTTTAGACCTTACGAGTGCCCAGTGGACCAAGGCAACACTGCCACCACTGCGTGTGCTGCTGGCTCCGCTTGGCCGGCGGCCCCGCGTCCAAAGCCATTTCTTCGTTTAGGGTTTAGGGTTTAGGGTTAGGGTTTAGGGTTTAGGGTTTAGGGTTTAGGGTTTAGGGTTTAGGGTTTAGGGTTTAGGGTTTAGGGTTTAGGGTTTAGGGTTTAGGGTCGAGGGGCTTCAGGGCAGGGTTTAGGTTTATAGTGTTTTTGGGCTTTGGGTTTCTGCGTTGATTAGGACCCTTGAACCTCCCAAGTCGCTAAGATACTTCGACTAGTCTTCAACTTCAACTCCCTCAGACAAGATCCGCTCCGGGAGTTGCGGGGAGGAGGAGGACCCCTGCACTTTGTATAAATGTGTTCTGACCCTACACCTTCAACCCCGAAGCCATAAAGCATGCTTTAAGGTGTATTGCTGATTCAAGGGGCTCCCTGAACTTCAGCATTAGATGTTGCAGCTGAGGGTTGGTTCTTATAGATATGAAAGAGGGGTTCAGGGGCAGTTGAGGTTTGTTTGTAGATGGATCGTTAGAGGTTCAGGAGTTTAGGCCGCAGAGTGAGCTCGTCGCAGCATCCGCTTGAACTCGTCCAGTGCTTGCCCGAATATGTGGGACGCTGAGGCCCTCCGTTTGACGAGCACCATGTGGCACTGGCATGTGCCGCCTACTGCCAGGCCGGTTGAAGTTGTTGTCCTGCCGAAGCCTGTGTGCGTGTGTGGCCTACAGGCTGCAGGGTTCAGAGTTGCACCGCGGCACATCTTTCCCTCATGCCACCAATACCCAGTTTTCCGTCAAGACATGATCCAAGACCTCTGAAATGTCCGGTGCCTATACTCAAAAACGCAATGCCTTGATCCAGCAAAGCCCTGATTATAGCTCCTGTGGACCTGAGTACCCTAAACCCTAAACCCTAAACCCTAAACACCCCTCAGTCCCCATCGAAAGCTCTTGACTGTGCAGGACCACGGTGGCCGTGCTGGGCGGCCTCGGGCTAAGTTGGGCCCAGGCTGCCTTGTTTCTGGAGGACAGGGGCTTAGGTCAGAGTTAGGGTTTAGGGTTTAGGGTTTTGGGGTTTAGAGTTTAGGGTTTAGGGTTTAGGGTTTAGGGTTTAGGGTTTAGGGTTTAGGGTTTTGGGGTGCAGGGTGTAGGGTTCATGAGGGTTTTGGAGTTTGGGATTGAGAGTTTGGGGCTCAAAGGCTCCCTCTGGGTGGAAGTAGAGAGCTGATACCCTGAACCTTGAATGCTCTAGGTAGGGCCTTCTTGCAGGATCAACCCGACTCCACTCGCGATGCAATCACTGCCAGCGCCGCTGCGGCGAAACTTCCTTGGCCAGAGGCTTTGGATTTGGGGGCCTTTTTACTTCTACCTACTTGAGTACCCCCCCCCCCCCCCCAACACATGAAAGATAATGAGACCTATGTTGCCCTTATAAGGAAGAGTATCTTTAGTTGTTGAAGTTTTTTGTTTGTTTTTTATTTCCAATTTTTCATTTATCATTTTTTTTTGGGAGGAGGGGGGGGGGGGGCGGGTTTTGAAGCAAATAGTAGTTTGGTTAAGGGTTTGGGTTTCTGAGCATCTTGGCATAGACTTACGTACGCCAGATGCCACAGGCTTGGCAACTACATGGTGTCACAAGCGTTTTCATGAACACATTTCTGGGGATTGTGTGGTGCTGCCCTTGTTGCAAGCATTCCGTGGTGCCTCAATTGATATGAGAAGTAGATGATAATCTCCACTTCAGTGTCAGTGCGGGGAGGTTGGGGCATCACATCAGATGCTCTCGACAAAGACTTGCGTCGCCTAGGCGAGTATCTCTTAACTGCTGAATTGCTCCTGTGCTGTCAGCAAGGCCCACCCAAAGGCTCCAATTGAGTTCTTTTTTGGGTTAGTTATAGGGGATTTTAGTATGCTACCCAAAAAGTTACTACGTAGGAGCCTTTGGGTAGTTTGGTATGTGAGGCGCTCGTGGTCATTGCCACAATGCCTTGGTCGGAGGCTGGGAAGATCCAGTTTTGTCTCACTCAGCAGAGACGCGCCGTCCTTCAGACTTGTTGGAGAGGTCCGACGCAAAAGTTTCTCTTCCATGTCTAGAGTCTAGAGAGTGATGCGTACCATATGATGTGATCTGGGATAGCCGACGAGCTAGACAGCCCTCTGCCCTGACCTACAGAATCTATAGATGTGAATCAGTAGTAGTATCCTCGGCGTACTGGTCCATGACCACCACCTTGCCCCTTAAACCCTAAACCCTAAACCCTAAACCCTAAACCCTAAACCCTAAACCCTCAACCCTCAACCCTCAACCCGGCAGCTCCGCCCCGACCTGGTTTGCTGGAATTCCGTTCTTGGGGCCTCTTTGGCCGCAAGAGTGAGAAGAGACTGCCGGGTTCTTTGGTGCAGGTCAAGGCGAAACAAGCTGACCACAGATTTAGGGTTTAGGGTTTAGGGGTTAGAGGTTAGGGTTTAGGGTTTAGGGTTAGGGATGGGCTTTGTATTTTGTATAGCAACGTGCATCTTGGTATATAGAATGAGAAAGGAACCATCATCCTCTCTTTGTTGGGGATCGTGCTGGGATCATGAACCGAGATCAGGCTTGCTGTCGAGAACGTTGCTGGGGCTCAGCATCTTCATGCGCTTTTGAGATTGCTTGGGGATTGGTTCTTGTGTTGTTGCATGTTGTACAACCCAAACCTCTCAATCAATCTCCTATGATTGAGGAAACCGACCATCTGAGAAGTAAGGTTTAGGGTTTAGGGTTTAGGGGTTAGGGGTTAGGGGTTTAGGGTTTAGGGTGTAGGGTGTAGGGTGTAGGGTTTAGGGTGTAGGGTGTAGGGTGTAGGTTTTTTCTTTTTTTTTTGGGGGGGGGGGGTAATACTAACACGATGGCTTGGCTGAGGCCTGCGCCGAATGCTTTGAGTGGCCAGCTGCCTTGAGCCCAGACACCTCAGAAGCTGGGAAGGTAACCTTTCAACCTTTTTGGCTATAAAGCATATAGAATACCATTAAAAAAATGTATATGTACATATGTATTCATACATATATATATATATATATATGTGGTTAGCCTTTATGGTGATATATAGAATACTGCTACATCAAAGGTTAACCTGTTTTGGGGCTAGGCTATTCAGCCCCGAAGAGACTGCGTTCAGGGTTCAGGGTTTCGGTTCCAGGCTTTTGGCTGCTCACCCCGTACTACGCCAGGAGACTGTTTCGAGGCGTACCCAAGGCTCCTATGTAATTTTTTGGGGGTAGTATATACTAGAATGCCCTTTGACTAACGGCAAAAGAAACCACATCAGAGCCTTCAGGTAAACTGTTCACGAACATGGGGACCCTCCCCTGAAAGCGGAACAGGCATGAAGTCAGCTTGACCAAGCCCGCATGGCCCAGTGAATGTATGAAAGCACGAACAAGCCAAAATCCGGGCCAAAACTACGTAATATATAATTCTAGCGTTATTACCCTTCTTTTTCGCTTCCTCGCTACTATTAACTACCAATCAGCTTGCTAAGAAATGCTGAAGTCGTTTCGGGTTGCAGATTTAGGCCATGCATATTGGGATGTTCCCCCTTATACTAACAGTCCTTAATCGGGATCATAGTACCCCCTATTTATAATCCCTCTTACGGGCTGTTAGTATCAGGGCGAACCTGCCAATATCGACAGCATGTTGCCTTGCGCCCGCTACCCAGCAACCCTCCGCCCTTCAATCTCCCAGATCCTACGCACTCAATGTAAAACCGCCCCCCCCCCCCCCCCCCCCCCAAATTCAACGCAGTCCTTGAATCCCTAAGAGATGGTTCTTGGGTAGGGGTTGAAAGGCCTAGAGCCCGAACGTCTCGAGGCTTTGGCCATCTTAGAAGAGCCGGCCTTTGCCTGGGATGTTGCGAGCTTCGGCCCTTCGCACGGGAGTATGGAGGACATTGATGATGGTTTCTGTAGGGTTTCATGGCCGGGCATGGGAAACTTGAGAGTCTGTGAGAATTTTGGGGCGGAGGGGGTGATGAATTTTTAGCCCGAGTTTGGGGTTTCGAGGAGGGTTTACGCTGTTGTCAGCGGTCTTGTAGTTGGAGTTGCGCGTTGGATTGGAGGAAGGATCAAATAATGTGCCTTCTTGGAAAGTCGTAGAAGCATGCTCATTTGTGGATAGAAGATGCTGAGATAATGGAGTTCCGACAGCGAAGCCCAAATCCAAGACCCGACAGAGAGCCTTGTGAGACGAGACCCGCCACCCTAAACCCCAAATGCTACACCCTATAAAACCCTAAACCATGTTTTTGCGGTGCTTGCATCCAGGTGCCAGCATGAAAGCTTCCGGCAAGGCAAGCCGATGGCAGCATGCACTGCAGCTCGGGGAAGCAGGTGGCCAGCATTGGGCCAGCACCATTCTTCTGAAGTCTTATGCGCGGTGCCCTTGTAAAACTTAGGACAAGAATCTTGTGTGGCCTTGCGGCTAGCGTGCATGATGGCAGTACAGATGCTCCGAGAAGTTGTAGCATGTAAAGACCCTCGCACTGCAGCGAAGACCTGGTCTTCCAAAGAGTCTCTCGTGCCTCACATCCTGCTGATGAGAAGGGCGAACATGATGCTGCTGCTGCTGCTGCTGCTGCTGCTGCTGATGATGCTGGTGCTGCCGATGAAGATTGGTGATGACTGATGAGGACTACTTGATGGTAGCGATGATGACCTTGAGGATGAGGATGAGGATGAGGATGATATGATGATGGTGATGATGATGATGATGATGACAACGATGACGATGTGAATGTGGCGATGGCGTTGCCAGGTCTACTGTACTTAAGTGTTCACCCCGGAGGGGTTCTTACAAAACAGACAACCAAACAGCGTTTATAGGGGTACTCTCTACGAGAACCGAATCAGCTCCGCATGGCCGCTGCTCGTACCAGGCATGAGCTCTGGCACCGACATCGCGCGTTTGGGTTGCACCCAAATCAGGTCAGTGTTCTGGGTTGAGAGGGCTGAAGCTGCGTGGGCTATTGTAAGATTGAGTTTGCGGTTTGTCCCAAGGGTTTGGGGCTCAGTGAGCTTTAGGGTTTGAGGGTTTGCGGATTTAGGGGTGTAAGACGGACTCTTACGTGAGGGGTCTAGAACTCTCGGAACTCTGGGTGTTGCGACAGCGTTTGGCATCTCAACAACATGGCTATAGGTGAAGGAATCTGATGTCATGCGGGTAGAACGGAAAAGTTGGGTTCCGTTTGGTGTTCCAGTGTTGTGGGGCTCCCATGATTCGATCGTCAACTCTACCTGTAAGGAGACCCATTTTAGCACTCCCACCCCCCTCAGCTCCCTCTACGCAGTCAGAGCCTGAAGCCCTGCGCAAGCCGGACTCCCTGGTCGGCGCAAGCTTTGCTAGAAGGCCCGTCAGCCCCACGTCTATCGTGCTAAGCATACCAGGGACTCTTTACCCTCCACACACTAAGCCTCCAAATCTTCGTCTCTTGACGATGTGCTGTGAACTATCGTGGCCGCCCAGCAAGGACTACTACTGCCCAAAGCCTGTATACAGTACATACTTGGTATTCTTGCACCAAAGAAAGCCCTAAACCCTATACACCCTAAGCCCTCAAGTGGTGCCGAAGCTCTAAACCAGGTTCTTCAACACTCTTCTCAGTGCCTTTGAGCGCGGAAGCCAGTGGCCGCCCAGTTGCAAGAAATGAGCTTCATTCCTTTGGAGGCAAGAAAACCCTGCATGCAGGCTCGTCGTGGGTCGTTCATGGTCCTGAAGACTTAATCCTTGCCCTGCATATGGCTCCCTGCAAGTTTTTTTCTTCTAACTGGGGCCGTTTCAGGGAGCCTTTTGCTTTTGTTCAGATTCAACGTAGACGTCGCACTGTTTTGTGGGAGTAAAGCTCAACGCGTCTTCCTCCTAAGATGTTGGAGACATAAGATCATAAGATACGTGAGGAATCCTGAAAAAAAAGCTGCCTGTCTACAAATGAGGCCCTCATTGAAAACCCAAAAACCGTATGAACCCTAACCCCTAACCCTAAACCCTGACCCCTAAACCCTAAGCCCTAAACCCTAAACCCTAATCCCCAAACCCTAAACCCTAAACCCTAAACCCTTAGCCCTAAACCCTAAACCCTAAACCCCAGCCACATGCAGCACAAGGGAGCGGGCCCTCGAGCTGTTCACCTCCCTGGGCAGCCGCGCAAATCAGGCGCCTAGACGTCTTAGGGACACCTGGGAGTAAAGAAGGCCCCCCTGGATGTTTACGGTTTAGGGTTTAGGGTTTAGGGTTTAGGCTGCTATCCCTTTGGTTGCAGGAAATCCCGCATTATTGGGTTTCAGACCCGCTGTTAGAGGCCTGATTGTTGGAGGTCTGAAATGGTCAACCTAGGCATCTGCACTTGCGCTTCACGGTTCTGCGTAGGGTGCGGAGAATATGAAGGTTGTGACTATAGGGCCAGGGGCACTGTAAACTCTATCAGACAGAAAAGGGGGATTCACGGGTACTGCAGAAAGCAACTGCCAAGAACATTGAGGTGGTGATCCGGCTCTCAGACACCCCAGGGGTTCAAGGATTTTGCGGCTCCGGAGCTCTAAGGGGGTTTAGGGTTTAGGTTTTAGGGTTTAGGTGTTAGGGTTTAGGGTTTAGGGTGGGTTAGCAGATAATCCCTCAACCCTGATCCCATGTCTTGTGTGTTGTCGTTATTTTGTCACCACCCTGCACTGACTACCCCAAGCCTCGGGGGTATGAATCCAAGGGGCAAGGATGCGCGAGGTGTAGGGTTTGGGGGTTTAGGCTTTAGGGTTTAGGGTTTAGGATTTAGGGTTTAGGGTTTAGGGTGGGGGTTAAGCGGAGGTTAGTCTTTTGCGGCTGCAGGGCTTTGGGAGAATGTTGCACCGGCGAAGCATGGGCAGGTGAGCTGCACCACCGTGTTCTCCTCAATGCTGCTTGGACTCACAAGTGCAGCGCCCCCTTACTGCAAGTTTAAATACAAATCAACTCATCCTTCAATCCTGAATCTCAAGCCCTGCAGCGTCCAAGCCTTCAGCGCTAGCATGCTACTCTCTTGAGCTACTGGTTTCCCAAATCCAATGCCTACACTACATGCGGGCTTAGGGCTCAGGGTTTGGCAGGTCTTGGGTGTCGGAGTGTAAGGTTTAGTCTCGCTCCCTCTCTCTCTCCCTCTCCCTCTCTCTCCTCTCTCTCTCTCTCTCTTCTTTTTCCTCTCTCTCTCTCTCTCTTTCTCTTTCCCTCCTTCTATGACATTGCAAGAGCCACTTTCGTAGCTGCCCCTGCTTGGCATGCTCATGCAAGTCCCCCGCAAGCATGAGGGGAGCTCCTGCAGGAAGAGTTGCAAACGCAATGAGAATGTGCTGGCACCAAAGAACAACTGCTGCACGGATTCTGATATAGTGGCTTCGTGTTTTCAAACCGTCCTTGTTACCAAACACCTAAACCCTAAACCCTAATTAAATCCTAAACCCTAAACCCCTAAGCCCTAGTTAAATCCCTAAACCCTAAAATGGGGACGCAAGGATGAATGCCGGCCTCTGGCTCACAGCCACCCGCTTTGTCGAGTCGCTGCCGAAGGCAGCAAAGCATGGGGGTCACTCTACACCCATCTGTAGGGTTTAGGGTTTAGGGTTTAGGGTTTAGGGTTTAGGGTTTAGGGTTTAGGGTTTAGGTGTTTAGGTGTTTAGGTGTTTCAGATAAGCCCTACATGCATTGGTTGGCGGGCTTTCTGTAGGGTTCCAGGTAGGGTCTTGGGAAATGTGGTATTTGGCCTTATTCGAACTAAACCCCTGCAGGGGGGGGGGGGGGGGGGTGCAAGAGGACCGTGTTTATGTGTTTGTATAGATAGATAGATAGATAGATAGATAGATAATATTTAGGCATTTCTTGTATATGTATATATGTGCAGTATACATACACAGACACGGACTCATATTTTGCTTGGATGGTAGATATCGTCGAATCGTGTTCCTTTAACAAGCAAGGCTTCACTAATATTTCGTATAGAGGGTACATCGGTTACTCAAGGTTACTCCACGGCAGTTCAATCCCTGCTTGAAGAACACATAGGTTTCTCAATGGCATCTTGCCTTTTCTCAATGGTATATAGTTTATAGGTCACTCGACGGCATACAACCTTTTCTCACTGTACGGCTGCGGTGATTCTGGCATCGTTTCAACTGCAGGCCTGCCTTCCCGACGCTGCACAGCGAGGCCGATTCGTGCTCCAAGGGAAACCTCGACTGCGAAGCCTATTTCTTCAATAGAGGTTGCGGATTTAAGGGGCTGAACTGCTTTAAAAGCGTCTAGGCGTTTGACAGGGTTAGGAGCTTACGGGGTTTAAGAGGGTTTTCAGCTTTGTGTTAATATGGTTTAGGGGAGGGTCTGCGGGGTTTCGGTTTTGAGGGCTTCATCAAGTGTCCTATTTTCCTTTCCGTTGTTTTATCATCTGTTGGTGGTGCTGTTTTTTCAACTCGGGGTCAAGCAACTACCCAAAGGCTCCTATGACCTTTTTGGGGTGGGGCAGACTAGAATCCCCTATAGCTAACCCAAAAAGGAACCACATTGGAGCCTTTGGGTAGAACTTGGGGGGCTAAACCCTAAACCCTAAACCCTAAACCCTAAACCCTAAACCCTAAACCCTAAAGGGGGCTTGCGGGAAGGCCTCAAGCTCTCCGCGCTCTACCAGCAGAGTCAGTGGGAGGCAGTGCTCTTCCATGCGCAGGCCCCCTTTGGGTCACGTGTGAGCTCGAAGGGAGCTATTGACCCAAGGGTGTGTTCAGGGTTTAGGGTTTAGGGTTTAGGGTTTAGGGGTTTTTTGGATTTAGGGAGAGTCACCTACAACGTAGGGCTATGAGTCTGCTTAGGACTTAGGGCACACGCAACTCTGCCTACATCCCAAAACGGAGAGCTCTAAGAAACCAGGAAGACTTGGGGGGTTGCACTAGGATGCCCAGTAGTACCCTTATTTCCTTTTTGGGGGGTTTAGGTTTCCTCATAAACCCCTTTAAGCAAAAAAGGGCACCCTTTTTAAGCCTGGGTTACTGGGCAGCCTAGTGCAAGGGAAGCGCAGGCATCTCGCCAACGAGACGAACAGCCAGACCAGCGACCTGTCAGCCTTCCCTGGCAGTTTTTTTTTCGGTTTAGGGTTTAGGGTTTAGGGTTTAGGGTTTAGGGTTTAGGGTTTATAAGGGTTTAGGGTGTAGGGTTTAGGGTTTAGGGTTTAGGGTTTCGGGGCGTCCCAGCCCACCGGACCAGTAAACAGTAGCCCCAAGCCCTTCGTGCCCGAAGTCTGCCCTAGAGTGACCCCAGCTCTCGGGTTTTCGGAGCTTAGGTCTAAGTTTTGCCTGTTCAAGGTACAGGTTTTGTCTCTTAGGCAACACCAAAGCCTAAAGTTCAAGCACAATTGGTGCACCTGGACACCCAAGTCTCTAAACCGTTCCACATCCTGCAGCTCAGCCCTACAAGCCTCAGAGCCCGCAAGCCCACGAAAGTCTAGATCCGGCTTAAACCAACAACCCGAAGCCCTGTGAGCTGCACTCCCTCACCCTTAACCCAAACTTGAGAATTGAGAAACCCCAAGGTCGCTTGAGAAATGAAGCCTAAACCCTTTGAAACAAAACAAACCCCAAACCTCGACACCCTTTAAACCCTAAACCCTTACACCAACAACCCCTAAACCCTACTAAACCCCTCAACCCCTACTAATCCCTGCTAAAGCCTAAGCCCCTGGACCCCAAAACCCCCCTAAAAACCCTTCTCCCGGAAGCCAGCCAAAGCCAGGCTTGCCTGCAACGTGGCCCTTGCTTCCTGCGAGGCGCCGCAAGCCTCTCCTATTGGGGTCGGAAGAACTACTTATCGATATTCCCTGAGGGTCCCTTTGTAATTCTACGACCTATTCTAATCTTTCAGGCCCCGATATAATACTTTGGGAAACCTGCGCCCCAAGCCCTTGGTCCTTGGTTTTTTGGGGCTTGTAATTGGGGGTTTCGGGGTCAGGGTTAGGGGCAACCTGCGCCCAACCTTGGTCCTTGGTTTTGTGGGGGGGTTGTAAGCAAACTTGTCGGGGTTAGGATTGAGAGTTTTGGGTTTTTAGATGTTTTTAGGGTCTGTAATCAGGAGAGATTTTGGTTCCAGTGGAGGGTGAGGGTGTAGGCTTTGCGTTGTCATAAAGTTGAACCCTAAAGCCCTGAACGAAAAGTATAGTCATTTCGTACAGCTCGAAGCTCTGCATCCCCAATATTGCTATGAGCTCCTGTGCGAACCCCGCCCTAAATACCCCCCCCCCCCCTACCCTTTGGAGGCCAAGTGCGACTATTTGGGCCTTAGTTTGGGCAGGTTGGTTTGTTCTTGTGCGTGCTTAGTATCCTTGTTGGAGTACCTTGGGTGAAGTCTTGCATTTTCCCGCTTGCACCTAGCGAAGTCACATGACCACCAAGTTGGCAGAGTGGCTAAGAACACGTAGTTCGTTTGCAGAAGCCCAAAGTCCGAAGGGCAACAAATCCCATTGCCCTAAACCCTGTCTAGTAACCCTCAACTCTAGATCCCCAAGTCCTAGGTTTACCTTGGGATGTTCCCTGGAACTATCAGTCCTTAATGGGGATAAGAAAAGGGATAACAGGGGCATTAGAGACCCCATTAAGGACCATTAAGGACCTGAACCCTGGCAGGAGGGCTCTCTCTGGCGGCTGGCACTAACGATCTTGCAGTCCATGCCGGACGTGGAGGCCGCCCGAGTGGGGGAGTTTCCTGAGGCGGTTTGGGGTTGGGGTTTTAGGGATTTAGGGATTTTGGGTTTGGGGGTACTAGGGTATTAGGGTATTCGGGTATTAGGGTATTAGGGTATTAGGGTGTTAGGGCATTAGGGCTTAGGGTTTAGGGTTTCAGGGTTTAGGATGAGCCTCTGACCCTTCATAGTTTTTTGGGGGGATCGGAGTAGGTTGCCCTTACAACCCCACCAAGCAGAAGAAGGGTACTACTTGAACTCTAAACCCAACAATCTAACGAATAATCTGATTTATTGCGGTACCTCTCTCTCAGGCCAAAAGCAACCCCAACTCCCTTCATGCCCCGATATGCCCCGCTCCCTGATACCAACAAAAAGCTTGACTGTAAAAAACCACCTTTAACAGTCCGAACCGCCCTCAACACCCCCTAGGCCAAAAAGCCTCATCAGCAAAAAACCCTAAACCTCAAGCACCAAACAAGCCTCCAGCCTCAACCCGAAGCCTGAACCCTAAGCAAACCGACGAGAAGCCCAGGAAAAGCCCAACCTCGGTAGGCCCTTGGGGCATTTTACATGTATTCCCTTCTTGGGCTTAAGAGGATCATACTCAGGAATATTCAGAGGTTTCAAGGGCCATCCTAGAAACCTGGACCCTGAAACATAAAACTTTGGACCTTGGAAAGCCGGTAGGTGCCTCCGGACGTGTACAGCTTCAGCGACTTAATGGCATTGTCCCCCGGAACTGCGGGGTTCGAAACGCTCTGAGAGGTACACATTACCCTGAGGCCCTAAGGACTCTTACTTGAGGCTTCTTGGGGCAACAGCCTTTTTTGGGGTTTTTGAGCTACTTTGAGCCTGCGAGGGTTGTGGATCTAGGGCTTAGACAGCCGGAAGACGTCAATGTCTCTCGGTCCGAGCCAAGCCCCAGGCAGCTTCCAGGACCCTCCTCTGAAGCGGGCTTTGGGGGGGTGGTTTGGCGTAGAGGGGGGCTTCCTGTCAAAGTGTTCCTTCGATTGGGTGGGACTAGAGTTCAAGGAGGGGTGTGGGGTGTGGGCGGGTTGCTGGTTCCTGTGTGTCCTGCCTCCGTCCTCCGGGCGGCTTCTATTGCACAAAGGTGTTCTGGAAGTGCTGGGTAATCTTCATAATTACTTGCAAAGGGCACGGGTAGTGTTTAGAGTTTAGGAACCTTCCTCCGACTTGAAGACTCTAGTGGGGAGTGGCATTGTGGCTTCCCGGCGAGAGGCTGCTGACAGAGGCACATTTGCTCCCAGGTGTGTGTGTGTGTGTGTGTGTGTGTGTGTGTGTGTGTGTGTGTGTTTTTGCAATCTTCGTGTAGAGGTTGCTAAAGCACTGAAGAAACCCATACTTCGTCAACTAGGTGCAGAGGGATGATGTTTCACTCCCCATTCCCATAAATCTCATTTGGAATGCTTTGCGATTTGCCGCTGTGAACAAGGGATCTGTTTCTGAGCCCTTTGGGATACTCCCCGCACCATGGAGAGAAGTGATGGGTCACTGCCCCAAGACTCTTCCTGCTGCTTGTGGGTAAATCCACGCTTTCTTGAGGTTCGGCATTGAGCGCCTGCGCCCGAACAGGCCCGGAGCTTTGGCACAGCGCTCCTAAACCCTCGACCCTATAAGCCCTCGACCTCTAAACCCTTGTGGTCCAATCTCAGCCCTAGACTGCTATTGAAGGCGGGGGAGGTGGGTGGGTGGGCAGGGAGCTACCGACACTACCTCGGCAATGCTAGCAAACTAGGAGTGGCCCGCAAGAAGATGGGGGGGGGCTTCCAAGGTAAAACCCAAAAACCAATCTGCTGAGACTCCCACCTGGCATCGGGGTAAATCTTCAGGGCACAGGGTTGGTGGTTTCGGAAAGTAGGGTACCTTATTGGGGTCCTTATGATAACAAATTCCCTACTGTTTGGAGGTGCTGTGCGCGTAGCTAGCATCTGGGAGCAAACGTATCCCAACTGCATGTTTTGTGGCATTCTCAGGCCTGATCCCATGCCCTTGCAGCTCTAAACCACTTCAACTTCTACACCCCTAACCGCTGTGTTGCAGGCATGTGGGAACATGCCATCGCGCTGCTTGGAGACATGAAAGACACCCTGGTGACGCCCAATGATGTGAGCCACTTGGCTTACCAGCTTTTGCGTCTGTAGCTGGCGCGTTTTCAAATTTGGTCCAGGCGCCCCCCTCTCTACTGCCTGCGGGTTCGTTGTACATAGGAGGAGTCCCCACTACATGGTTTACCTGGCACTTCAGCTCATCTTCGGAAGGTCTGTTTGTAGCCCTCGCGGAACCCTTGAACACCAAAAGCGTCAGGGCCCTTGTCAGTCATCCGGAACTAGGGGGGTGGAGTGCTTCCCTGCTTTGAGGCTCATGGATACTAAGACGTGGGGTCGCAAGTACGGCAGCTTCAGTTACTTCAGCTATATGCGCCTACTCAAAGTACATGCAATCTTTGGAGCAGTCGCTGTGCCCGATTTAGGTTTTGGGTTTTGAGGGTGCAAATCAGAGCACCAGCATCCATCAAGCAGCTGCAAACCCTAAACCCTAAACCCTAAACCCTAAACCCTAAACCCTAAACCCTAAACCCTCTCTTCCTCCTGGCATCTTGAGCGCCGGGTCTGCTGCATGCTCCCGATCCAGAGCCCCTTTTAGTGCTTAAACTTAAAGGTCGCTTTTGACCGGGCACATCGTTTTCAATGACCGGTCGAAGTCTAGCGCGTAATCGCAAGGCAAGACGGGCATCCGTCTTTGCATGTTCCCAGATTCTCTCAGGGCATGGCAGTTTCCACATGGTTATAGGGCTTCAACAGGTCACCTGACCTAGGATGCCCAGTAGTTATTCCCTTTTTGGGGTTTACCTGACCTAGGATGCCCAGTAGTTATTCCCTTTTTGGGGTTTAGGTTCCCTTATTCACCCATTTAAGCAAAACAAAAGGCACCCTTGTAACCCACATCCGCCTTGGATTAGAGAACCAACCGCCAAGGTTACAACTCTGCTATAAGCAGCTGTGCGGATGCTGGCTCCCCAGTGAGCCCCACTTTCCAGTTACTGAACACCGATGAGTCCTTAGGCGGCCTATGGTACTTGTAGGAGGCGTCCGCGACCAGCCTATGTGCTTTGTTATGGGGGGTTTGAGGTTTAACTGCTCACTTGCTCTGAGTCTACGACAGTTGCTGGCTGAACATGTGGCAAGTTTCGAATCGATGGTCTCTTTTCGGGTACCTTAAATACCAAGGCCTGCATTAGAATGGCAGGTACGCCAACAAGCCATCCTGGTATAGGGAGCAACCTCAACTGTGCTTCTCTCTCAGTGTCTCTCCCTCTCTCTCACACTCTCCCTCTCTCTCTCTCTCTCTGCAGGTTGGAAAATGGCGCTTGGCATTGGAGCTTCTTGCAGAGCTCTCTGGACAGTCTGGCATGTTGAAGCATTGCTTCACTTTTGCAAGTCTCCCGTTGATGTGAGGTCGCTGTTCAGGAAACCGTTGATGATCATGGGGACGGTCCAGGGATTCTTTTTAAAAGCGGACTGCAGTGCAGGGGACCTCTGACAGCAGTTGTATGTGTCCAAGCCGTAGCATGCCGCCCTCACGTTGAAAAAAACAAGAAGTGCACTACCAAAACGATCAGGCTTCCCGAAGCCAACAAGCCCAAATGCCTCAACCCTAAGCCCTCAACCCGCCAACTTCACCACAAGCCTTGGGCCAAGAGGCTCTTAGTCGTAGTCGGTAGACCATCAAAGACCAGGACAGCTCCTGCAACCTGATGAACTGTCGTTCAGCTCCGCATCTTTGGCGACATTTGGGACGCCGGCGTGCGGAGGGAGTCTGAGGTTTGTGGTTTGAGTCTGAGGTTGGGGGTTTCAGGTTTGGGGAGGGGTTTAGGGCCTCAGGGCTCTCTGAGCTGTTTGGGTTTCGGCTGTAGGCGTCGTCTTCACCAAGCAACTCTTGTGCAGGTGGCAACTTTCCCTCACTTCTCAGATTCCCCAAAAAGGATCCTGGTACTTGGAAGCCCCTTGGCGCCCCCCGCATGTTGCTGGCCATTAGGGACTCAGGGCCTCTGAGACCAAGACTCCGAACCCTAATATGGATCTTGCTTCTAGGATGCCCAGTAGTATTCCCTTTTTGGGGGGTTTAGGTTCCCTTTTCAACCCATTTAAGCAAAAAAGGGCACCCTTTTTAAGCCCTGGTTACTGGGCAGCCTAGGCTTAATATAGCGGTCGGAATTGAATAATTGCTAATACTATTCCCTTGTGGTCCCTCCATTTTTACAATATAAGAACCCCCCAAACCCCTGTTCTAATCATTGAGGCCCCTACATTTCATGCTAAGGCCATTACCTCTTGTGGACAAGCAGCTCATCTGCAAGGTTTTGGGACTCGCCGTTGAGTGTTCTTGGGTTTGGGTCTAGTCAGGGCTCAAAGGGGTTTGTTTCATATTCAGGGCTTCCCCCAACGACCCTGAAGTCATGTGAAGCCCGAAGTTCGCAGCACCTGATGCTCTGCAAGCTCCGAACGCCAAGAGGTCTGAGGACCTGTCACTGTAGAGCCCTCCAGCCTTGAGATTTCCAACCCTTCGACAAGCCAAAGCCTTTCCAGAGCTTTGAAGCCCTAAAAGGAAGAAGCCCCCTTAATCCTGAAGCTGCACTAAGCCCCTTTCAACCCCATGTGAACAAACCCTATGAATAAACTCTCCGAAAGCAACTGCCGCAAGAAGGAGCCCTGAAACCCTGAGGCCAGCGAGTGGCAGACGGCCCTTGGGCTATTGGCATCCATGTCCCAGGCGCATGTGATCCCAAACCCACCTTGGTTACCCGGTAGCCCCTTGAGACGTTTCATATTTCTCCTCATTGAGTTTGGGAGGATCCTATTCAGGAATCTTTTTCAGGCCATCCTAGGCTAGTATCTCGGCATGCACATACGAAAACATCAGAAGCCAGGAATCCCAAGCTCAGTTCCCGCGCAGTCTCAGAACCCTCAGCTTCAGCCTGGGCAGTCAGAATGGTGCCCATGATCTGTCAACCTAAGCTTTTTTAATTACTGAAACCGCTAACCTGGTTAAATGAAGCACTTCCTAAACTTTCCTAAACGGACTGAACTAAGTAATAAACCCTGAATGGAACGAGCACACAACCGAAGTTAGGAATGTTGGGATTGGGGATTTTGCCTGTTTGACAATAGTCTACGTCCCCAGGCGGATGCTATGATGCACTGGTGCCTTGTTTTCTCTCTATATCGTGGCTTACTGGGTAGCCCAGCCTTTATATTGATATATATATATATATATATATACATATATATATATATATATACATATGGGCGGACGTCAAAATACCATGTATGTAAAATATGATGGAAGTGCGATATGAAGCTCCGCTCTTGCTGCTTTATGTCTTCGCCACAAGGCGGCACCATGCGTATATGCAGGTTTCCGGCTCTCCCCCAAGTAGGCGCTAGGATAGCGCTAGCGTGGCGCTAGGTGTTCCTTTCCAAAAGCCAACATTTTAGGGTTTAGGGTTTAGGGTTTAGGGATGCGAGAGGCTTTGGGGTTTCATGCTTGGGGTTTAGGGTCTAGGGTTCGGGGCTTTCTGGGTTTAGGGAAAAAGCGGGGACCCTAGACCCTAACCCTCAATTCTACTACAGGCTTCAGGATTAAGTGGGAGGTAAATCGCTGCAGTGTTTGCTCCTGATGCATACTGCCGGCGTGCCAAAACTCTAAAGTCATGAGGCGAAATATGCGCTAGGTTGGCGCTAGCATCGCGCTAGCAAATATCAAGGGAAACTGCCTGCGGCGACCACTTGCCCATCCAAGACATAAGGCAGCACTAAGACAGCTGATTTGAAGCATGGCCAACCGGGAAGAGCTGGCAGGGGATATCCTGAGCAAGGAGGCCGAAGAAAAAAGCTACGCGCTTGTGCTACATCGCTAAGCGATAGCTCTAACACTACTAGCTCGAGTTCAAGTAGCTCCAGTAGTTCCGAAGACGATGCTTGAGTCTTGAAATGAAGGCGCTAGTGTGTTTTGCGAGGCTTTTGCATAGGGTACAAGAATTAGTACTACACTTCTGTACTTGCCAAAGCCATCGTTCCAGACCTTCGTTTTCCTTCTCGGCATAAGGCGGCACCATGAGTTTTTCAGCATCCGCCGTTCCTGGAAGAAGGAATATTGACAGCCACCCATATATGTACATAATATATACAGATATATATATATATATATATATATATATACCCTTCCTTTAAGCCCAAGCACTTGGAGCGAACTTGATCCTGAGCAGTAAGCCCCTATGCCTTGAACCCCGCGCCCCAGTCCAGAAATCCCCAGGCCCGGAACCCTAAACCCTAAACCCTAAACCCTAAACCTTAACACCCTCCGACAGGCAGCTGTGAAACCCAACCAGCTCTGCCTTAGCGCGGGTATCTTCGCAGCTGCCACCGCGTGCCTCGGGGAGCTTTTTGTTGCTTAGTAAGGGATGGGGGAATAAGGATGGGCTATTACCCTATAATCTCTTAAAAGGCCCTTTATAGGCTATTACCCTATAATCCCTTAAAGGCCCTTTATATGTTATTACCCTATAATCCCTTAAAGGCCCTTTATAGGCTATTACCCTATAATCCCTTAAAAGGCCCCTTTATAGGTTATTACCCTATAATCCCTTTTAAAGGCCCTTTATAGGTTATTACCCTATAATCCCTTAAACGGGCCTTTAAAGGTTTCATTGTGGGGATTCTAAGGCCTAATAGCCCATCCTGCAATAAGGTACCACATGTACTCCCTTAAAGGGTATATAGGGGATATATGGTACCCTATTGCCCCAAACATTATAATAAACGTGATAAATATAATAATGAACATAATATATCAAATTACAAACGTCGTGTATCAAATTATGACTCTGAACAATATATCAAAACAAAACATAACATTAATAAAATTGATAGACATAGTAATGAACGTGATAATAATTTTGAACAAGATATTAAACCACATCATAATATTAATACCAAAAATATTAATAATCATAAACGTATGTTCTTGTATCATTCAATTCCTTCCCTACAAAACCAACAGTAAGCGGATGGGAAGACTTTTTGGTCACGTGAGCTGGGCAGTCAATTACGGTTTTGGATTTTGGGTTTGGGTTTCGGATTTAGGGTTTAGGCGCACTTTCTGCACACTTTTCGAAACCGCAATCCTATACATGAGCACAGTCCGAAGCGCCTAAACCCAATGAAGTCGAATGTCTCGCTGTTGCTGTTTTGGAGGTGCGAGTGGGAGGCTGCCATGGCGTTACTACAGAGCATCATGGTCGCAAGGACAGGGGCTTCGGTGTCTAGAGTCTGCAGAGGCCGTAGCATTCTTCTTCACAATTCGTGAGGCGTTCATTCTGCGAAGGTACGTGCTCACAGCCATGACAGTTGCCGATCGTGCAAAGCCATGATGATAGTTGCCGATCGTGCAAAGGCAATGCTCGGCGTGTAGGATAGGCTCTCTTGACACTTGCTGCCTTGCCAAATGCAAAACCGGCATCCGAAAACAAATCGCTCGAACATGTACCTCGTTTCTAAGTGTCATCTTCAAACTTTAACCAGCTTATTGGTATGTTCGCCAGTAGAGCCAGAACAAAACCAAAAAAGCCAGCCACAGGAGCAGTGTACTTAAACTCAACAAGGACTAGAACATTTACATGTTTCAAAACTCTCCCAGCCATGAACCCGAAACCCCAAACCCCAAAAAACCCTAAACCCTAAACCCCAAACCCTAACCCTAAAACCACCAAACCCCTAAAACCCTAAAACCCCTATCCCTGAAGGATGTCTACCGACAGCATCAGCTGGAGTACGGCGATCTCTGCCTGCGAAAAGAGTAGCCGCTGGCAGCTGGCATCCTACCTCCTGGTGGCCTGGTTAAATCCTAGGTGGGTGTTGAGGGTTTAGGGTTTAGGGTTTAGGGTTTAGAGTTTAGGGTTTAGGGTTTAGGGTTTACTAGGGAGACCCTTCAAAGGGGACCCTTTCTCAACTCTCTTCTGGTGCCTTTAAGGAGGGACCTGATTGAGAGGGTCTATCTTGCGAAGGGTCCCCCTAGTCCTACCTGGTGGCCTTGTGAGGGGGTGAGTCCGTCGATTCGAGGGTTTTTTTTTGGTTGAACCCTAGACCCTACACCCTAAACCCCCAAACCCCAAATCTTAAACCTAAACCCTATAAACCCTAAACCCGGATTCGCTTGGAGTTGTGAAGAGATGTGGACAGCTTGGCCTTTGGTCAGAGTGCTCTCAGCAGGGGGGGTGGAGTGAGGCGTTTGCACAGAGAAGCTTTCATTCATAGCCTTGCCCAGGATTTAGATTTAGGGTTTCACAGGGAACTTCAAGCCCGAGCTGAAGTGCTGCCACCTGTCTTGTTCAGATCCTTTTTTCTGCAGCCGTGTCGCCCGGTGATTAACATATATGAGCTCACACTGGCATCACCTGTCATCCAGCCAGTGTTTGTTGTTCTGAACGAGAGAAGAGGAAGCACAGACACTGACCCCTATAAACCCAAAACCTACCTGAAGTCTCCAAGGTAGTTTGTTTTGGGGTTCGTTCAAGGGGATGCTGGTATACTACCCCAACCTGGTACTACATAGGAGCCTTTTGGCAACCTCATCCCGAACTGCACTTCCCTAAACCCTAAACCGTAATCCCTGGGTGTCCCATAGCGTTTCAGGAAGCCATGCCGGAAGCAGATCTCTGTCCGGATGAGTACAGCAACTCCAGCTGCAATGTCAGGGTTGAATGCTTGGAGGTTGAGGGGTAGTGATTCTGAGGGCTATGAGCTCGGCTGACGATGGTAGTCAGAACTGGCTGTATATTGCTATGTTGATTCTCAGACGCTTGAAACTTAAAGTAAGGGTTCAGGATGTAGTGATTGGTGTTCAGAGCGGTCGACTGCGAGACTTGACCGTCCAACGTAAAGAAACCCTAATCCCTAGATTCCTCGACAGTTGGAATGTAGGGTTGGAACTTCCCTCCAGTTCCTTAGACTGGCCTTCTTCCATCGTAAAGTGCCTCCAGACCTCACTATACTGGTTTTGGCGCATGTCTATTTTTCTGGAGTGGAGCTGTGCTATACCTTTGGGTCTGGGGTCGGAAAAATGCACGTAGGCTTCGGCTGAAGCAGAGTTTGTGGGCTGTACGTATCAGGGTATCTGTCCAGAATGTCCTAAGGTACTGTAGCTGAAGCTTGAGGAGGTCCATCTTATTCCGGGATGGCATGTTCCTTCATCATGCGGCTTCTCTAGATGCCCTTGTGTGTCGCAACTTCGCTCTTTGTCTCGCGCACCTCGTCTTATCCCGACTTTCGCAGGAGTTGGCGGAGCTTTGATGCAAAATCTGGGCCCCGAAAGCCTCTTCCCCAGATCGGTACAGATACCCTGTACCCTCACCCCTGCCAACCCCACCCCCCCAACGTCCAAAACCCCAAACCTAAGACCTGTACATCAGGAGGAAGAAAGTTTTGTCGCACTTGCATATCTTGCGTTAGTGGAGGACGCGGAGTACGCGGAAGTGCATTTTCTGTGGCCTGGCCGGCGGAGGAATTTCCGCGCTGTTTTAAACATATATTACTTTTTTGTTCCGACGGAGGACTCAAAATCCTCCGCGCCCCAGAGACACATCTTGTGGAGGAGTCTATGGGGGTGGGGGGTTTGCACGTACATGGTGGCATAAGTCCCGGATGCGACGAACTTTCGTCCTGGCGCAGCATGAACTCCAGGACCGATAGTTCGGCAAGGCACGTCCGTGTCAAAGTGGCCGGACAGACGCGTCCCTACTCATGTTGCGTGTGTCCAAAGCAGGCCAGGCAAGCTCAGGCAGACACCTGCACGGAAATGTTGCCTTGCAGGAAATTTGCACGGGTCCCTGTTCATGTTGAGTGGGGTGGGAGCTTCAGCAGCATGAACTCCAGGACCGATAGTTCGGCAAGGCACGTCCGTGTCAAAGTGGCCGGACAGACGCGTCCCTACTCATGTTGCGTGTGTCCAAAGCAGGCCAGGCAAGCTCAGGCAGACACCTGCACGGAAATGTTGCCTTGCAGGAAATTTGCACGGGTCCCTGTTCATGTTGAGTGGGGTGGGAGCTTCATGTTGAGTGGGGTGGGAGCATCAGGAGGAAGAAAGTTTTGTCGCACTTGCATATCTTGCGTTAGTGGAGGACGCGGAGTACGCGGAAGTGCATTTTCTGTGGCCTGGCCGGCGGAGGAATTTCCGCGCTGTTTTAAACATATATTACTTTTTTGTTCCGACGGAGGACTCAAAATCCTCCGCGCCCCAGAGACACATCTTGTGGAGGAGTCTATGGGGGTGGGGGGTTTGCACGTACATGGTGGCATAAGTCCCGGATGCGACGAACTTTCGTCCTGGCGCAGCATGAACTCCAGGACCGATAGTTCGGCAAGGCACGTCCGTGTCAAAGTGGCCGGACAGACGCGTCCCTACTCATGTTGCGTGTGTCCAAAGCAGGCCAGGCAAGCTCAGGCAGACACCTGCACGGAAATGTTGCCTTGCAGGAAATTTGCACGGGTCCCTGTTCATGTTGAGTGGGGTGGGAGCTTCATGTTGAGTGGGGTGGGAGCAGCATGAACTCCAGGACCGATAGTTCGGCAAGGCACGTCCGTGTCAAAGTGGCCGGACAGACGCGTCCCTACTCATGTTGCGTGTGTCCAAAGCAGGCCAGGCAAGCTCAGGCAGACACCTGCACGGAAATGTTGCCTTGCAGGAAATTTGCACGGGTCCCTGTTCATGTTGAGTGGGGTGGGAGCTTCATGTTGAGTGGGGTGGGAGCATCAGGAGGAAGAAAGTTTTGTCGCACTTGCATATCTTGCGTTAGTGGAGGACGCGGAGTACGCGGAAGTGCATTTTCTGTGGCCTGGCCGGCGGAGGAATTTCCGCGCTGTTTTAAACATATATTACTTTTTTGTTCCGACGGAGGACTCAAAATCCTCCGCGCCCCAGAGACACATCTTGTGGAGGAGTCTATGGGGGTGGGGGGTTTGCACGTACATGGTGGCATAAGTCCCGGATGCGACGAACTTTCGTCCTGGCGCAGCATGAACTCCAGGACCGATAGTTCGGCAAGGCACGTCCGTGTCAAAGTGGCCGGACAGACGCGTCCCTACTCATGTTGCGTGTGTCCAAAGCAGGCCAGGCAAGCTCAGGCAGACACCTGCACGGAAATGTTGCCTTGCAGGAAATTTGCACGGGTCCCTGTTCATGTTGAGTGGGGTGGGAGCTTCATGTTGAGTGGGGTGGGAGCAGCATGAACTCCAGGACCGATAGTTCGGCAAGGCACGTCCGTGTCAAAGTGGCCGGACAGACGCGTCCCTACTCATGTTGCGTGTGTCCAAAGCAGGCCAGGCAAGCTCAGGCAGACACCTGCACGGAAATGTTGCCTTGCAGGAAATTTGCACGGGTCCCTGTTCATGTTGAGTGGGGTGGGAGCTTCATGTTGAGTGGGGTGGGAGCATCAGGAGGAAGAAAGTTTTGTCGCACTTGCATATCTTGCGTTAGTGGAGGACGCGGAGTACGCGGAAGTGCATTTTCTGTGGCCTGGCCGGCGGAGGAATTTCCGCGCTGTTTTAAACATATATTACTTTTTTGTTCCGACGGAGGACTCAAAATCCTCCGCGCCCCAGAGACACATCTTGTGGAGGAGTCTATGGGGGTGGGGGGTTTGCACGTACATGGTGGCATAAGTCCCGGATGCGACGAACTTTCGTCCTGGCGCAGCATGAACTCCAGGACCGATAGTTCGGCAAGGCACGTCCGTGTCAAAGTGGCCGGACAGACGCGTCCCTACTCATGTTGCGTGTGTCCAAAGCAGGCCAGGCAAGCTCAGGCAGACACCTGCACGGAAATGTTGCCTTGCAGGAAATTTGCACGGGTCCCTGTTCATGTTGAGTGGGGTGGGAGCTTCATGTTGAGTGGGGTGGGAGCAGCATGAACTCCAGGACCGATAGTTCGGCAAGGCACGTCCGTGTCAAAGTGGCCGGACAGACGCGTCCCTACTCATGTTGCGTGTGGCCAAAGCAGGCCAGGCAAGCTCAGGCAGACACCTGCACGGAAATGTTGCCTTGCAGGAAATTTGCACGGGTCCCTGTTCATGTTGAGTGGGGTGAGAGCATCAGGAGGAAGAAAGTTTTGTCGCACTTGCATATCTTGCGTTAGTGGAGGACGCGGAGTACGCGGAAGTGCATTTTCTGTGGCCTGGCCGGCGGAGGAATTTCCGCGCTGTTTTAAACATATATTACTTTTTTGTTCCGACGGAGGACTCAAAATCCTCCGCGCCCCAGAGACACATCTTGTGGAGGAGTCTATGGGGGTGGGGGGTTTGCACGTACATGGTGGCATAAGTCCCGGATGCGACGAACTTTCGTCCTGGCGCAGTACGCCCCCATTCTTGAGCGTTTCCAGCGCAGCAAAGAATGTGAAGCTCAAGCTGTCACTGTAGTATGTTGTTTTGTGGAAACCCCTAAACCCTAATCCCTAAACCCGAAACCGAAACCCTAAACCCTAATTAGCCTAAACCCTAAACCCTAAACCCTAAACCCTAAACCCTAAACCCTAAACCCTAAACCCTAAACCCTAAACCCTAAACCCTAAACCCTAAACCCTAAACCCTAAACCCTAAACCCTAAACCCTAAGCCCTGTCAGGCTTCAACTCCGCCATCGCAGCGTGCGAGCGCGTCTGCAGGGAACGCGCGGAAGCTTCCACGTCGGAAAATCGGATCCTCCAAGCTTGCGTCATGTTGATAGTATTGTGTCACTATAGTGCCATTGTTCTTACAGAACTGCCAGTATGAATCTGCAATAGTACTTTATGTTGATTTCAAGGGAGTCTGGCAGGGCGTAGGACCAAAAGGGTTATAGGGTTTAGGGCTTGGGGGGCTACGGACCCAATGGCGGGTCGGCAGTTTAGGGATTCAGGGTTGGGATGTTCCCTCTTATACTAACAGTTCTTTATCGGGATTATAGTACACCCGCCCCCCCTACCCCCTATTATAATCCCTATGAAGGACTCTTAGTTTTAGGGGGACAAAGCTGCATCGCATCACCGTCTGCTTTTTGTGAACTTCTGGACATGTGCTCCGGCCCATGGAGTTGGTGGGTTTAGGGTTTAGGGTTTAGGGTTTAGGGTTTAGGGTTTAGGGTTTAGGGTTTAGGGTTTAGGGCCAGATTTCCTCAGCCTGGCCCCAATCCCGAAACCGGAAGCCCTACGCCCGTACAATCGCATGTAGCAGTCAACGAATGGTGATACTACTGGCAGTAACCATCGCATCCAAACCAATAGACATCCCGTTGCATCATCACCATCGTGATTGCATCATCATCAGCAGCAGCATCATCGTCAACACCATCATCATCATCATCATCATCATCATCATCACTGCATCCTCCATCATCACCCCCTGTCGCCAACCGGGACTGTCAATAATGGACATTTGCAGATTCGCATATCGGCCCCCGAAAGACTGCTTGGAGCAGGGCTTAGGGTTTCAGCGTGCCTTGGCTGCATGTTTGCACTGCACCCGGAGTCTCTGAAAGAGGTATCTTCCGTTGTTCATGTTTAGTGCTTCTTTTTCGTCACACCCTTACTTCCCAACATTCCGAACTATGTTCATTGATACTTGAATACTTCGGCATCTTCGTAGTGAGTTGAGTAGGACAGCCCGACTGAGTACTCTGCATCCCATATAGTGCAGCTTTGGGGGCTTCGGGTCTGGAGATTGATTCGGGCGACCGCGATAGCGCCAACTTGTGGCCGTGGCCGCACGCCGGCTGTCGTCTGCACTGCGGGGGGCAAGCCACTGAACAGAGGAGGCTTCACTCTAAACATGTGGGGTTTAGGTTTTTACAACTCTGGAGGGGAAGGTCGCAAGGGGTCTGTACGGGCAGCATGGGGATTCAGGTTCTGTTGCCATTGCTCAGAGCTCCATTTTGAATTTGTTGAACTGCTCCATTTTGAATTTGTTGAACTGAGATTTCAGATCTCGGGATCTCGTACTGTAGCTCGGTCCGGGTCTGGGTTCCGGAACCACTCTGCACGCCTCAGAGGTTGAGTGGCTGGGTAGTGTTTGCACCTGAAACCCCTAAACCCTAAGCTAGGCCCTAATTAAACCCTAAGCCCTTGCTGCAGGCTTCGGGCTGCGTGATGTCGACCAGCCAGGACGCACCCTTGCACCCGTGGGGAATTAACGAGGGACCAGAGAAGCATTTGCCCCCTAACATGGGTGCAACGTGACCTGGATTTTGGGCGGTTTAGGGTTTAGGGTTTAGCGCTTAGGGTCAGGCTTGAGGGTTTAGAGACCATTGTTTCAGCCACAAGGTTGATTGATCCAGATAGGCCCTTAACCAACCCTAACCCCGCAGCGTCCCGACTTCAAAGGGGAGGGGGGGGGAGAGTGCTGAGCAGCTTCCTGTGTGATCCTGTCAATGGCAAAGTGTCGCAGTCGCAGCGCGCGCCCCGCGTGATTTCCCTGTCAGCACCCATACAGTTTCATGCCTAGTGCTTGATGTATGAGTGGATGAAGGGCCAACGGAATCTGCTATCTCTCCATATAATCCTGCTACGTACCTTTAACTGTAAAACAGGCTAAGATGCTAGAATCGCTGGTATACTGCATTCTCAAGGGTATACGAGAGTCTGTACAGTAGATCCTTGAGGGTTTCAGGTTGCACACAAAGACACATCAAGTGCGTCAGGAGCCCTCACATCGCGCATGCTTCGCTGTGAGGGGGCGTCTTCTCGCGAGGCAGTGGGATGTTCAATAGGCTTCAGTGCATTCAGTGTCTACCTGAAGGCTCTAATGTAGCTCCTCTTTGGGTTAGTTAAAGAGGATTAGTCTAGTATACTACCCAAAACAGGTACTACATAGGACATAGGAGCCTTTGGGCAGAGTGTAGGGCTGGGGGTGGACGTGCGCAGTAGATTTTGGAGGGTTCTGGGTTGCACCGGGGACAGTTGTGTCAAGTGCCCTGGTTAAGGAGCTCTTACATCGCGCATGCTTCACCATGTGAGGTTTGGCATCCCGTGATCTCTTGATCCTTGCTTGAGAAGGCTAATGGGCACCTTAATAAGGCCAAGGTACACAGAATCTCTTGTAGGCCTGGAGCCTTACACTCCAGAGCTTGACTTCGTTCACCCCATTTTGCAGATTGAGCGGTCGGCCGGGTGATGCCGGGTGCCGCGCAAGCCGCGCTGGGCCAGCGCCAATTGCAGGTTCGGGGTGGCTGGAAAGGGTTCGCTTCGAGGCTTGAGGGGTTTGCGGCATGCCCCTAAACCCTAAACCCGCCCGCCACCCCTCTCGTCTCTATGCCCTGGCCTGGCCCTGGCCTGGCCCTGGCCCTGGCCCTGGCCCTGGCCCTGGATCTGGCCCTGGCCCTGGCACTGCTGGATCTGGCCCTTGGCCTGGTGCTGGTTCTGGCGCTGCGCCTGACCCTGGCCCTGGCTGGCCCTGGCCCTGGCCCTGGCCCTGACCCTGGCCCTGGCCCTGGCCCTGGCCCTGGCCCGGCCCTGGTCCTGGCCCTGGCGGCCCTGGCCCTGCTGGATCTGGCCCTGGCCCTGGTGCTGGCCCTGGCCCTGGCCCTGGCCCTGCCCCTGGCCTTAAACGCTTGGTAGGACCTTAAACCCTCCCAGTTAGGGGGGCTTTTACGCAAATGTCCGAGGCAGTGCCAGTAAGCAGGAGGGTCTTAAACCCTTCCAGTAGGCAGAAGGCTGCCAAAGAAGGCCCTGGAGCTGACAGGAAGCCCTGAAAGGTCCGACCCCTCGCTTTGAGCGCTCTAGTGAGTTTCGTTCTCTGGCCAAGTGAACTTCGGCGTGGGGGGGGATTCTTGCAAAACTTGCAGACTCTTCACGCCCTGAATTTTCTGTGAGAGGGCCCTTCGGCCCAGACTGTCTCCTGCGCAAAACCTGAGGGGGGGGGGATCCTTTGCCTTGTGCCCCCAAGTGACCTCCGAAGTCAAGGGACACCCTTGGCACCCCCTCAAAGTAGCAAATGTCCCAGGCAGTGCTCGACATGCTGCCCAGATGATCTCCGACTTCCTAGTGTCCCAATCAGCCACTGTTCCCAAGTGACCCCCCCAAGAAATCGCCAACAGCTCGCCTCAAGTTCGGCAAGAGTTCACGACTCGCACATATCCCAAGCTTTCGCAGTGTTTTATCTTAGTGTGCTCTGAACATGTTCGATATGTGAGATTTGAAAGGCTTGGCTTTGGCTGGCTCCGGTTTGGTTTCGTGATGAGTATTGTTTGGGTGGCCTCGGGGTGGGCATGTCTTCACACTTTTGCGTTCAGCTGACCAATGCTACACCCTAAACCCTAAACCCTAGACCCTAGACCCTAAACCCTAAACCCTAAACCCCAAACCCCAAACCCCAAACCCCAAACCCCAAACCCCAAACCCCAAAGCCCTGTCCAACGCAGGGGGCCAGTTAGAGTCATTGGGTGCATCCTTCGTCCGCGGTACAACCAAACTCACATCTAAAGAGACAATCGCCCTAAATCCTAAGCCCCTAGAGCCCTCAACGCCTCAACTCGGCAACCCGTAAACCTTTCTTCCTAAACCCTAAAGCCTGAAACCTCAAAACCCTAAACCCTCATCTTCCTTTTTAAGGGCATGTATAACATACATACGCGTAAATGTACATATATATATATATATATATATATATTTCTGTGTTTTTGACATGCCTAACTATGACATCGAGGGCCAAGTCCTGCCTCCCAGATGCAGCCATGCGACCGCGCCGCCGGGATGCCCCATGTCCTGTTTTTTTTTTTTTTGGGAGGGGTGGGGGGGGTTAGGGTTTAGACTTTAGGGTTTAGGATGGGGTTTAGGGTTCAGGGTTCAGGGTTTTTGTTTGTCCTAGAACCTGAATGACTGCAGTGATTGCAGAGATGTCCGTGCTTATAGGGAGGATTTGAGGCGCTTCCTTCTTTTGATTCATGTGTGCAGGCTCAATAGAAGGGTTTTCTAGAAGGTCTACCCCATCTAAGCTACAGCTTAGATCTAACTTAAGCGTCTTCCTTGTTACATGACCCTCTGAAGCTACGCGATCCGATATATTCAGGTTGCTGATGAAGCCCTCAAATCCGACCGAGCAGGCAGGCCCAATTGTGAATGCCCATCTTTCGCCACATGGGTTTAGGGTTTAGGGTTTAGGGTTTAGGGTTTAGGGTATATCTTTCATGTGCCCAAGCCCTGAAGCCTCCCGAGGGTCACCTGCCTTAATCATGGCCATATGTTTCTTTACGAAGGGAACACCAGTTGCCTAAACCCCAAACTAGGCCCTAGATCCTAAACCCCAAACCCTAAAAGCCCTAAAAAACCCTAATGCCAAAAGCCTTTGAGGACTGGCATCAACAAGGCCATGGCAGCTCTCCAACGCAAAGGCCGGTCCAGGATGTACCTAGACTACTCTCTATGCCCTTCACAAAGAACGACGAGGACCCAGAGTAGGCCCCTTTTTTCCCTTGTTTTAGAGTTTGGGCTACTCCTGGGCCTAGGCGAAGTGTACCTTGATCACCTTGGTTACAACCCTAAACCCTAACCCCAAACCCTAAACCCTAAACCCTAAACCCTAAACCCTAAATCCTATAAAGCTCGAAGCACTGGCTGTGGCTCCAACTCATCTCTCTCTCCCAGATTGATTTTTGGCCCTTGGGGCCCAACATAGACCCCAAAGCCGCAGACAAACGTAGAGTACGGCCGTTTAGGGTCTCTAACATTTCCTCCGACTCAGGTTTGGCGGGTTTAGGGTTTAGGATTTAGGGTTTAGGGTTTAGGGTCTAGGGTTTGCCAATTTGACCCTGTGCGAGATAGGCGAGAAGGGAGCCGAGGCACCGAACTGTCACTAACCAGAGTCCCCGCCCTAAAGACTAAACCCCAGCCAACTCCAATCCCGAAACCGCTAGGGGTTTAGGGTTTAGGGTTTAGGGTTTAGGGTTTAGGGTTTAGGACCATGAAAGCCTCCTAAATCCTAAAAGCCCTTACTAAGCCCCCCCGCAACCCTAAACTCCTGAACCCGAAGACCCTAAACTCCTTAGAGCCTAATTCTAGGGGCCTTAATATATGGAATAGGATTTTAGGGGGTTGCTGTAGTATCATGATAAAGGGATCATGTGGGCATATGATTATTAACTATTCCGACCCCTATATTAACCCTGTAAGCCCACGGACCCCAAAACCCTAAAGCCCTACAACCTACGACTTGGGATGTTCCCCAAGGGATTATCATACCCCCTACTAGAACCCCATTTAAGGACTGTTAGTAACCCCCTATTAGAACCCCTTTTTAAGGACCGTTAGTAACCCCCTATTAGAACCCCTTTTAAGGACCGTTAGTAACCCCCAATTAGAACCCCTTTAAAGAACTGTTAGTAACCCCCTATTAGAACCCCTTTTAAGGACTGTTAGTCACCCCCTATTAGAACCCCTTTTAAAAAGGGATTATAATCCCCCCCCCCCCCCCCTTATTAGAACCCCTTTTAAGAAGCTTTTAAGAAGGGATTATCATACCCCCTATTAGAACCCCTTTTAAGGACTGTTAGTGTAGTAAGCGGCCGAGCTGCAAATCCTTTTTGAGCTCACGAAGCTTCGGAGATTGTTGAGGTGCCTGGCCTGCAGCCTGCGACTTCCTGGAGGCGCTGGCGACGGGCGTCTGTGGTTCGGGGTTTAGGGTGTAGGGTTTAGGGTTTAGGGTTTAGGGTTTAGGGTTTAGGGTTTAGGGTTTAGCTCAAAGGCTTCAGGGTTGTGGTCTTTGCGGTCCTAGGTGAGTTCCTAGGTGAATTCAGGCGAAGAGGGCCCCGCAACCCCGAGAGCAACCTGGCAAGAAAACTGCCCAATAACAAAGAACAGACATCTCCCTTTTGGAAGGGTCTATGGTCCTCAAAACCTAAGACGCTAAGGCCTACAAACCCCCACAAACCTCATAAACCCCGTAAACCCCGTAAACCCCGTAAACTCGGTAAACGCGTAAACCGCGTAAACCCCATAGACCCCCATAGACCCCCATTAATCCTGGAATCGCTTCGGATCAGACCCTCTCTGCGGCGCGGACGACATTGGAGGTGGTCACCTTCAACTCCGCTTTGGGAAGCTGCTGGGCCTCTGCTTATCCAAACCCCTGCTTATGGCTCAGGGTTCCCTGATTCCCGAAGCCTTCAGGGTCGGTTTCGGGTCTAGGGACCCCCTCAACCTCAAACTCCATCAGCTTGCCTCTCTTATCCCTAGGTTTAGGGTTTAGGGTTTAGGGTTTAGGGTTTAGGGTTTAGGGTTTAGGGTTTAGGGTTTAGGGTTTAGGGGTCAGTCTTTTTCCGGTACCATGAACCTGAATGCTAGCATTCCTCAACCAGTAGGGTGCGCGGGCGAACTTAACTCTAAACACCCACACCCCAAAACCCTGAGGCCCTTAGAACACAAGGAACAGCGAGCCGCAAGGCCAAGCTGCAAAACTGTTGAAAACATATATATATATATAGATACATACATATACATATATATATATGTATGGATATATAAGTATATATTCACAGATATACAGATATGATTGTTTTCTCTATGACTCTTGTTTGTGTGAGCTCCAAAACCCTTACTGGTACCAACACCCTCAAAACCCTTGAAAACCAACAACGAACCCCACAGCAAAACCCATCACGGTACTTTTTCCTTCTTGTCGGGGTATAGAAATTGGTCTCGGTATCAGTTACCCAAACCCCGAACCCCCACCCCCCCCCCCCCCCCCCCCCCAACAACCAACCCTAAACTCCTGATTGCAAGCCAGCCTGCAAACTGAACACAAACCAGTCAAAAAAATGAAAAATAAAAACTAAACCCTTACACCGCTGTAAGCCCCTCAACCCTTAAAACGCCCTCAATCCTAAACCCTAAACCCTAAACCCCAAAATTCAAACGCCCAGGCCTCCAGCGCGAAAAGCGCTGGCGCCGGGCCTCGCAGATCCTCCAAGCTATGGGCCCAGCGCCCTTGGGCCTGCAAGAATTGGTTTAGGGTTTAGGGTTTAGGGCTTAGGGCTTATAGGGTTTAGGGTTTAGGGTTTAGGGCTCAGGGTTTAGGGTTGAGGGTTTAGGGTGTTGTGCTTTTGTTTTTTTTGACGGTTTTGGGTTGAGGGCTTCAAATGCATCCTTTTTTCAATGTGTGGGTTCATGGTACTTATTAACCAATTATAACTTTTCTTATAACTCACTTACATAAGCACCTTAAGTGCCCTAATATGGTTATAAGTTCAGTGATAATTGGTCGTTTATGTACCATGAACCTCCAAGTAGGAGTGACAGCAACATCTGGGTTGCGACGGTGGGCATATTTGCCCATTAAGTGTTCGGAGTTGTAAGTGCCATCTTAGTTCAATACGCCCACCCGCAATCAAACATCTTGGCCATCCGTCTGAGCATTCGCAACGCAGCCGCTCTTGGATTGAACTGCTTTGCGACATACCTCTGACCTGTAAACTCTTGAGTTTTTGGCTACTTCGTCTTTGTAAGGACGCATAGGGTACTCTAGGAAGCCCTGTCGGAAGGCAAGTGAGAAGAGATGTCATCACTGTGAACTCGGTCCTGAGCTGCTGCCATGCTGACACGGAGGCAGTCACAAGAGGGCGTTTAGTCCAGACCTTAGGGTTTAGGGTTTAGGGTTTAGGGTTTAGGGTTTAGGGTTTAGGGTTTAGGGTTTAGGGTTAGGGTACACTCTAGAACTACAGCTGCGCATGAAATACCAAGAGCACATGCACCAAGTGAAAAAGCAAAGACATGTACCCTAATGGTGGTACATGCTCCGCATTCGAGGGTGTCTAGGAGGTTCTCGGCACTCGCCAAGCTCTAGATCCAGCCCCTGTATTTATTGATGTTGGGAAATCTAGCCCTAAACCCTAAACCCTTATATCCCTAATTTGGTGCGCGGTGGGGTCTGAGCTGCAAGCCACCAGATTCTCGAAGTCAATGCTTTACCAGCTTGCTATAGAATGGTTCATCCCCCGCCTCAAAAAAATCCAGCCCCTCAATCTCGTAAGCTTAAGAAACATGAATTCCCTTTGGGATGATGCAGGCCATGCATACATTGCAATCAATGTTGGGAGGCCTTTTGGGAAGCATCGGGAGGCGTTTGGGAGGTCAGCTACGGTGTTCTCGCTTCCATGGAACTTACATACAGAAATACGTCCCATCTCCTATCTTCCCTCGGAGACTTATAAATCTTACTTACTAGCTGTTTTGAGGATTGTTCTTTCTATGTTCTCTTTTTTTTGTGTGCATACGGCTCGGGAAGTTATTCGGTCTTTCATTTCTTTCCAGAAAAAGACAAGCCCTGCAACAAAAGACACTGAATACTTAGGGTGTTGGGGCGTTAGCATAGTATATTTGCAAAGGGACCATAAGGGAATACTACGAGTATTTATTCCGACAAACCCTAGTCCCTCACCTAGCCTTGAGATCCAGACCCGAGCCCTACGCCCTATTTCAGGGTTTAGGGTTTAGGGTCACCGAACCCGAAGCCCTTGTGCTCGGGAGGGTGATGCTCCCTGGCAACACTCCATGGAGCTGCTCTCATCGATCATGCTGACGCCGCCTGGTCTTCTCAAGTCGCACCTTAAACAGTTGTGCAAGTCGGCTCCGTTCATGGGCTTCCTGCTTTCAAGTGACCCAGTGACTTTGAATATTCATGCATGTGTACAATGTGTATACCTATGCAGTTCCTTCCGCATGTGTCATCGCGCGTCCAGGGCGCCGTGCTGGCCCAAGTGTCCTTGACACACCTACGCGGCTCGACACACCCTGAGCATGTTTTGAACCCTACAGATAAACCTATATAAACCTTCAGCACCAAGAAAATGTGTGTCCATTGAATTTACTCAGACAACTCGAGTCCTACTGTCTCGGACAAGATAATTTACTGACTTGTTGGCGAGAGTTGTTGCTGGAATGGCTTTTGGGAAGAATGTCGGAGATGTACTTTTGGCAGCTTCAAGCCTAACTAAGCTCTCCTCTTGCTCGGGTGTGGCCAAGTGACAAAGAGCAGAAATGCCGCGTTTTTCAAGTTTCAGATTCGTTTCCGCAGTTTCATATTAGTTTCAAAATAGTTTCAAAATCCAGTTGCAAAATCGATGTTAAGGGGAAACTGTATTTTCTACGCGCAATTCAAAAGAATAAAGGAATATCAGAGGTTCCTGGTTTTCAAAAAGCGCGGACAGAAATTGCAGTTCCCCCTTAACAGCGATTTTGCAACTGGATTTTGAAATTATTTTGAAACTGATTGGAAACTAATTTGAAACTGTGAAAACAATTTGAAACTTGAAAAATACCATATTCCGGACTTTCTGCCCCCATCCTGGCCCCTCACATACGGCCCTCAATTCACTTTGGTCAGCTGTGACTAGAGACCAGAGTTTCCGAAAACTTGCCAGTCTCCAGACTGTGGATGGACAAAATCTTGCATGACCCCCTACGTTACACGTGTGCGACGGTTTGGTATTCGAGCTCCCCGCGCACCTCGAATCTCAATGTTGCGTGCGCGTGCGGGTGATGCAGGATTTCGGTCATTCACACACATGCACTTTCGAAGCGTTGCAAGGACAGCAATGTTAAGATTCAGGGTTTGGAAGGGATGCCCTGCATAATAAAAGTGATGCAGGATTTCGTCCATCAACAGTACCTCCCCTTTGTTTTTGGTTTTCCACCGGCTCCTTTTGTGAGGCCCTTGACCTTGACATCCCCTGACCGACACGTAGTCGATGCACAGCGAAGGAGTTTCCACCCTGCGTGACAGAACGCAAGTGCTTTAAACCTACGTATGTTTCTACTGCCCAAGGAGCTCAACGATCGGGCAACGGCGCTCTCAACATCACACCCATATCGCCTGAGACCCTGACCCCCTCTTTCACCCCCCCCCCCCCCCCCGCCTCCCCACGTTTTCCGCTACTCACTGTCGCCCTGCCGAGGTCTATGCAACCCTCGCTGGTCTCTTGCAGTGCCCTGATCTCAGGTTCACTGAGGATCTCCTTGGTTCTTTCACGGTCGATGGCCAGCACCCTAAATGGGATTCCATATTGTTGTTTTTTGTTCGGTTCCAGGCACGCATGCTCTGCTCTAAACCCTGAACAATATCCCTAGTGCTTGTTACGTATCAAAATCTTAGATCTGCATGCTTCTCGAAGCTTTACCCCTCCGCCTACATCCTGAGCATTCTTATCAAAGCGCGGGAAGTCACGAAGCCTACAAATCCCACTGCCAACTGCTACTGACAATGACATGACTTTGCCACGACAGACTCTGCTCGTGGACCCCCCCGCCCCCGCAAGAGCACAAAAACACCCAAGTTGCATTCCGGACCAGCAGTGGTGCAACTTGAAGCCATCAGCACGCATATCAGAAAGGCGCGGATGTGAGGCTGATCCCGATGTCACTGAAACACAGCAAGCGCTGCCTAATGAAAGAATCCCTGAACTTAAGTTCATCGACAACGAGATCAATCCCCAAGTGGCTGAAGGCTTGCAGCAGCAGTTGCGCGAGCGCTGTGGCCTGGGAGACGGTTTCTGGTCTGGGTTCACGCTGAGGTTCCCGCTGAGGGGTTTGGGTTTGTCGGTTTTTTTTTTCACTCTTGCCCAGAGTTTTTACTGCTATTCAAGGGGGGGGAGTCAGGAGTGGCAAAGTTTTGCTGTAGCTCCTGCTCCAGAGACCGCAGAGAATCCATCCCTGGAGCCACAAAGTGACCCTGAAATGTCCGCCCCCGGAGACTTTTATCTTTCATTGTCATAGTGGGGTAACATCTTATTTAGACTCAAACTCAATAAGGAATAGAAATTTAAGTTTAGCAATGTCCCAACCATGAACTAGGTGTCCTCTGGATCAGTCGGAGTGCCAACCCCAAAGACAACGCATAGAGATTTCCACGGAGTATTCCTGGAGCGCCCCAACATCTACCCATAAAGTCCATCCCCAGAGAACCAGGAGCGCCTCCTAATCTCAGAGAATCTAAAGGAATATCCTTGGAGTGCACAATCCGGATAATCCCTACGACGCCCATCATTTTTGTTGTTAGGGTTGGGTTGTTCGAAGTACACATTTTAAATTTTAATGGGCGCAAACAGGCCTTGTACCCATTTGAGTGTCTCAGATGCTGATGGACCTATCTTTCGGATCTGTAGAGTTGTTTGCGCCACCTCCCTTCCTGACACCTTCTGTTGGTTTTTGGAAGAATAGCAGCCGCACCATGGATGACAAACAACTTGCTCGAATCAGCAACTCAGCGCAGCATGCCGCTGGCAGCAGAGGTAGCCTCCTTGGTTCTTCAGCTTCAATGTCTAGGGTTTGGGTTGGGACGTTCTCCCTTGTATCAGGGGGAGCGCCCCAAGGTTTAGGGCTCCAGCCTGACATCCCTGAGGCTGTCCAGCTGCTCGGCCAAGGGTCGAACACCATCTGCCACTTGGCACTGGAGCTGTAGGGGGTTTAATTCTTCAGGGTTGAAGGGGCCCTGAACCCTGAACCCTAAACCCTATGCCCTATACCCCAAACCCTACATATTCGGTCTACCACTTATAACGTTCAGGTTTCGGCGACCCAGAGGTGTGAGAGCTGCTAGTGTGCAATATGATCGTCCCAAAGTTCAAACTCTACCCAGACTTCTCTACCTAAGGGCTCCTGTGCAGTACCTTTTTGGGGTAGCATACTAGCATAATAGAAACCCCTACAAGTAACCCAAAAAAGGAACTAACTTAGAGCCGTCAGGTATATACCGAAAGAAGAGGTGCACTTGCATGATCGTCGTTTTTTATGCACCTCTTTGTCAGGCACCGAGTTGCTCAAGGTTTCGGGGCGCACGTTCCAGTGCACCCTAGAACGGGGTCCCAAGCCCGGAGTTTAGGGTTTAGGGTTTAGGGTTTAGGGTTTAGGGTTTAGGGTTTTTGATTGCAAAAGTCCATACCTTGAGAGTTCGATGAGTGGCCTTCAGCATTTATGGGCTAGTGTGACTGTAGTTTTCCAAAGCGAGTTTCCAGAGACAACGTGACAAGATTGTGTCTTATTGAAGGCTGCCGAATCTTCGTGAGGGTCTTCAAGGGCTTCGGGGTTTAGGTTTAGGGCTCAAGGGTTGTAGGGTTCGGGTTCAGGGGCACACCTAGACTTCGCCCATAGGATCTTAAAGACGCTGCTTTCTTGTCCTTTGACAGTTTGACCTCCTTGTTTGGGTAAATTATGGCACCCTAAGACATCCCAACACCGACGCAGGAGAGTTGAGAGTTGGGAGGGTCTCTCTTCTACTAGCAGTCCTTACTAAGGACTCTCATAGGGGTATCCTAAACCCTAAACCCTAAACCCTAATCCCTATTGTAATCCCGATGGAGGACTGTTAGTAGAACTTGGGAACATCCCCAAAGTTGAGAGTTTAGATTCAGCCTAGCCATGCCTTGGGGTGTCCCAGAGGCCTAAACGTGGTCCTCACGGCATGCGCCTCCTGGTCGGAGTTGGTTTAGGGTTTAGGGTTTAGGGTTTCGGGTGTAGGGTTTAGGGTTTAGGCCCCCCCCACCCCTAAAACCCGAAACCCTGTCCCCCCTGAGCCCTTTAACCCAAAACCTCCAAGCACCTAGACCCCAAGCCGTAAAAGTCCATTGAATCCCAGACACGCTGAACCCCACAACCCAAAACCTCTAAACCCTCCTAGAAGCGTTTCTGTGTTCAAATTGTTGCTTCAAGTCCTTGTAAACTTCTTGAAGTTTTTCATTCGGGGTGCAGAATCCTTGAACCGAACTCCAACCCTAAACCTCAAGTAATTGCCTCTTGTAGACCAGCTCTTTGGAAAGACGGGCAATGCAGAACTCCACGCGCACACACACACACACACACACACACACGCACCGTTAAGAAGACCTAAGCCTTACCTAGGGTACCCTACATACTCGCAACAAAGGGAAAATAGACTAATCATTGGGGTACAGTACATTTCCTTTGTAAGGATGTTTCTGTTACTCTCTATGGAAGAGCAGAACATCCCCCTCCACAGGCCTCATTGATGCGGATTGCTCAACTGAATCCTGGACAACAGGGTTTAGGGTTCAGCGTTCAGGGTTTAGGGTTTAGGGATCAACCAACCAGAAAGTTGAGAGGGCTGAACAAATTTCTTGAGTGCGTCTCTATTCCAAAAGAAGCCTCGTGATAGAGATGAAACCCCACATGGGGTTTCCGAAACTAGGGGTACCCTTTCTGGAGGTTCCGATTATAAGGATTCTACTATTTTAGTGGTACATTAAGGGTACTCCCCATTTTGGGAAAGACCCACATCTTCTGCATTGAGGCCAATGCAGAGCAATGGCAAGCTGCCCTGGAGATCCTGCGCAACTGGGCTGATGCTTGCGGGGCTTTGAACGCCCCGTAGGAAGTGCTGAAAAACTTCGGGGTACCCGCAATATGGGGAATGGGATGTTCCCCGTTATACTAGCAGCGTCCTTACTAGGGATTGTAGCAGGGGGTACTAAGACTATAATCCCTACTAAGGATTGTTAGTAGAAGGGGGGACATCCCAAGGAATATGCTACAATAGAGACTTATAGGGCGCATGACTTGATTTCAATTCAAGCCACTAAGCCCCTTTAAGAGGACTCTACCACCCCGCTGAGGAGGGGGACTGGAAGGTTCTTGGCGGGGGGGTCCTTCGTAAGGAGACCCTACTACTTGCGGGGTCTCATTAAGTGTCCTTATTCTCTGTAAACCCTCACTTGCTGTCCTAGGATTCCTTTTCTCAAGAGCCCTCAACAAGGGACGTAGATGTAAAAGCATGCCCCAGCTGAAACTGAGATTGTGGCTCCGAGCTGAATTCCTGCATAGCTATAACATGGCGAAGGCAGTATTGGTCCACTGCCGCGGTGCTGTACAGGACCTGGAGTTAGGGCTGGTGCGCTTTGCGATCTTGCGTTGGCTTGTCTACTCATTGGCGGTCTTTCTGCAACCGGAATTCATTGCACAAATGGGGGCCCACTCTCTATAGACCCTTAGACAACGGTAGCTAATTCTTCTTTCACTTTGCCACATGGTGAGGCACAGTGAAAAGAAGCAGCTCAGGCTTTAGGGCCTTCATTTTGGGCAGGAGTGTGGGACGAAGGGCTTTAGGATGAATTGTTGCAGGGTTGGGCGTGGGTCATGCTGTTGAAAGTCCAGGTTTTGGTCAGCACACCAAAGTCGAACAGGTTTAGGGTTTAGGGTTTAGGGTTTAGGGTTTGCTAAGCTCGCGCAGCTGTCCGCAGGTATTCAGCCCGGACTAGCCGACGCAGTCAGCTTCAACATTGTCGCAGCTGGTCTCAGAAAGAAAAGTAGAAAGTAAGGGCTCAAGAAGAAACAACAATAAAACGACTCCAGCTTAATACACCTAAGATTGTGAACATAATTTGTACAGCTAGTATCATTCATATGACAAATCTAGTAAATAGCAGGATCTTAACCCATACTTCCTGCAGATTCCGAGGTTGACCCAGACGGTAGACTTAGACCCCTAAACCTCGCAATTTCTTGGTTTTGGGTCCCTGTTTTAACTCTAAGTCGCCACAGCTGAGAGTGAGAGCTCCAGTTGTAGGAATGCCTGCAGACTCCCTCTAACCCGAGAGTTTGAAGGATCGGAGGATTTCGGGTTCAAGGGCAAAAACTACTGCTCCGGCTTGGACAAGCCTGCGTAGGGTTTAGGGTTTAGGGGGTTTAGGTTTTAAGGGTTTAGGGTTTCGGGTTTCGGGTTTCGGGTTTCGGTTTTAGGGTTTCGGGTTTAGGGTTTCGGGTTTAGGGATAGCTCCTCAACCTCAAGCGTTGGCAGGTCTCGAGCTGCTCACGGTCTTTGCTGTGGCAGCTGGCACTGCCGCCCGTTCTGCACTGTGATGCCTTGGGATCTTCCCTCTTATACCAACAGTCCTTAATAGGGATTATAGTACGGTCTAGGGTTCAGGGTTTAGGGTTTAGGGTTTGGGGTACCATACTCCCTATTAAGGGCTGTTAGTATTATATCCCTAGTGACATCCCCGCCTCTGGGCACTCTCACACCTACCCATCGCCCTGGGAAGATCCACCCCTACTACCTGTAGGCTCCATTGCAGTTCTTTTTTTGGGGGTGAACCATGTTTAAGGTTAGGATCCCCAAATAGAAAAAACTGTTTAAACAAAAAGGGAGCTGCAGTGCAGACTATATCTACTATGGGGTCATGCTCAAGAACCCTTAAGGGGATCTACTTTTTGGATCCTCCCAGGGGTATGAAACCGACGACCCTAAACTGCAAGCCATGTCGGTCTAGGACTTTTCCTCCCATTGCCAGAGTTTCTCTTGTGCTGGTTGGACCCAGAACACAACCCTGGCCCTGGCAAAGCCGCAAACATTGCACAGTATGGTCGCCCACAGCTCCTTAAGCAACAGTAAGACACCCAAATATGAAGCTTACAATTATAACTAAATGTGAATGGAACATACATGCACATATATTTTCTGTACACATTTGTAGAGAGGAACCTGATAGCAAGACCATAGTGGAACTTGATAGTAAACCAATCATGTCATCAGAATGGGAGTTTTGCAGCCTGCTGCCTGTCGAAGTGTTGGCTCAGAAGGCGTTCTAGGTCTCGTCAGGAGCGATGCCAAAAGTCTCGCCTGTGGTCCCGCAGCCGGCCGATGAGCCAGACCAGCTTCCTGTCACTTAAGGGGGCTGACCTGCATCCCCTCCTTTTCAGGTACCCCTTACAAGGACTCAAAGGGAAGGCCAGTGGGGTCCTTGAGATGGGGCGCTTGTATATATAACCCTAAACCCTAAACCCTAAACCCTAAACCCTAAACCGATATGTTCATTTCCAAAGTACTTTATCTGTAAGGCGGAGGCGGTGAGCTGGGGTCGGTGGCATGAGCCAAGCGTCGAGGGGGCGAGAGACAGTTGCGCCGCCCTCGCCTTTACGCCACTTTAGGGTTTAGGGTTTAGGGTTTAGGGTTTAGGGTTTAGGGTTTAGGGTTTAGGGTTTAGGGTGTAGGACTGGCCTGAGAACCTTGGTGACCTGGTGGTGCTAGATAGATGTGGTGCAGTTCGTGCGACCTGGAGTTACCGTTACACCCTTAGAACAAGCGTGTTAAAACCGGAAATGTACCCGAATGATTTGGTATACTTCTACTTTGTTGAGGTACAAGCTTGATAGGTCGGGCTCCTTATGCCTGGCTACATCATTCTGGGGGGGGGGGGGGGGGGGGCGACCTGTATAGTTCCACCGGCGAGTTCGCGTTCCTCCCTGTATGCCCAGAGGTATTTTAGGGAATCCTACCCAGTGGGGATCTATATTTGGGGTCATCTTCGTAAAAACCCCCATATATCTTTTGCCTCTTTAAAGGTAGAAGAGGTCCCTCTAAGCCCAAAACCCCGTAACCGGGGGACTGCGGCCGCATGTTTCCTGTGGGCTGGGGCCTACTTGCGTAAACAAGCGACACGGAAGGTATGTTTCCGCGTCAGAACCACCGTCAGAATATCCTATGTACCCATAAGAACCTGGGGGGTATCGGAGTCCATTTCCATTTAGTTAAGGGTACAGCGGCTGCTCTGGGTGCTAAACCCTATAACAATACCCTGTAGTTCTTTCTCCCACAAGCTTGTTCTGTCTTTGGCATTGAGCTGACCCAAGGTTGCTCACAGACGCAGAAAGAGCCAGGCAAGTCCGATTCTTTTCCTTAATAGGGATTATAGTACCCCCTATCATAATCCCTATGAAGGACTGTTGGTATAAGGGGAACATCCCAAAATATAGGTTTCGGGTTGAAGCTTTTTGAGTTGAATGCCGCGGACCACGGCCGGGGAGAGTCGCTGAAAACGGCTGAAGCCCTGAAATGCTGACAGCCCACAGTGGTGCCAAAATATGGCCTGGACGCCTTAGCTTAGCCATGATCTCCAAGACTTCTCTTTATCCCCCCCCCCCCCCCCCAGAGTCCGCAAGCATGCCTCACCTGCCCCTTGACAGCGCGAAAGCTGCAGGTTAACCCATGGACAGACAGGAGCAACGACCATTGGCGCCAGCATCGTCAGCGCGTCCTTTAAAGTTGGCCCGATCCACAAGATAAGCGAGCAGAACGCCACCTAGCCTTGCATTTCTTTCGCGGGGCTTTCAAGGGAGTCCGGGTTCAGGTCGTCGTAGAACAGAGCCTGTGCTTGGGGAGCTAGGGGTTACTTGTAGAGTGTGGAGCTGATCGCATGAGCCACTTGCAAGGCCGGTGACTGTCACATGTTTAAGCAGCTCCTCAGTCGGAAGATTTCCTGGGTGGTGATAACAGCTCTGACAGCTGGGCTGTGCTACTTTGCCGTGCGGCCTACACTCTGCTCCGAAGTTGCAAAGTGCCAAGAGCAGCACAGCAGTGCTACGGAGTTTCGTCCTTACAGCTCACTGATTTCCGCCGCCTTAGGGGCTGTTTTGGTGCATGAGCTCGCCAGTGTGATATTGACCTACAGAACGGCCCAGAAAGCCCTCAGCCTCATTCCGAACGTCAGGGAATCATTGATTCCATCCGGACTACTCTGCACAAGCTTCACCGTGCTCTTGCTGGAGAACCTGCCCTTCTACGCAGCAGACTCTGCTTGGTTCCTCCACGCCTCTGCTTCGGACCGCCCAGAGCTACATGAAATGCCCGTGTATACAATATTTTACGTCGAGTGGCTGGTCAATGTTCCCATCCTGCTCGTCTTGGCGGGTAGTATCTCCCTGGGCCGGCCCGGTCCCGAGGTAGCAGAGCCACTGGTCCTCACGAACGTCTACATGATCTTGGCATGGTCTGCCGATTTCATTCTAGGTCCTGGCAAGTGGGCGGTCGTGGTGATCTCATTCCTCATGTACTTCAAGGCTTCAATGGATATGTTCCTCTGGGTCAAGCGCTGGCGTGTTGACAACCCCGATGGTCATCTCTTTGGTCGTCCGCTGCTGGCCATCGCCCTCGTCGTGGTCTTCGGAATATACGGCCTGGTCTATCTCTTTCGACTTGCCGGGGTGGTCTCGTGGTATTTTGAGTGCGTGTTCTTTCTGACCATGACGCTTGGGTTGACTTGCAGAGAGGCTTAGTTACGCCTTGGCACTGCTGCAAGTAACCCCGAACTCCGTCAACCCTGACCCGCTAGATGCCAAGCACATGAAAATAATACTTGTAGCATGAAAACAATGAGGGTAAACCCTAATTAAACCCTCTGACAGCCCACTGGTGCCCTTTACCCTTGTGTCGGTTCTGGGTTCACTTATTCAAGTAGCCAACCCCAAAGATCGGTGTCCTTATTAAAATCTGGTTACTGGGCTGCCAAGAATAAGAACGAGGGCCCAAAAAAACACATAAACATGAGGATACTACGATTGGGGTATAAGGGCCCCTACAAGAGAGGGGATTCCGACAAGGTCTGTTTGTAGGATCCTTATGTTTATGGGTTTAGGGTTTAGGTTTTATTTGGGCCCCGAAAGAAAAGGAACTTCTCCACGAAGCTGTGTGCCTCCATGGCACTTGCGGGCATCCGGTCCAGCGAGTTTCAGGAGGTGCTCTTGGTCATGCTCGCCAACACCCAGACCCTTATCCAAATTAGAGTTTAGGGTTTACGGGGTTAGGGTTTAGGGTTCAGCACCCTTAAACGACATGGTTAGTAGGGAATGGGGGAATGAGGTACCCTATAGAATCCCTTAAAGGGTAGCGAACAAGGGCCCGAATGCCCCCATTCCCTGCCGACTGAAAACCTGGTCCATTTGAGCTCCAGGCTCTGGGCTTAAGGTCGCCTCTGCCACGCGATTACGCACGCCTCCTGCCAGGCCCCCCCCCCCACCCCTCCGCCGGCCCCCTATAGGCCTCCGGCCCCTGAAGCCTCGAGTTTCAGCCTCCAGGCCCTGCAGTCTGTAGTTTAGCGCTCCAGGACATGCAGCACTGAGGTTAGGGCTCCAGGCCCTGCAGTTTTCTTCTACTGCAGTCTTTGTAGCTGAACTACATCAACAGGAGTCTTGTTTAAGGCACGTGCCTTGATGAAGAAAAACCCTACGAAACCACACTAAACCCTGGGGTTGTCGAAGGCAGGGCAGCCCAGGTACCCCTACAAGGAGGGTTATAAGCACCCTAAATTGGGTTATAAGGATCTTAAATTAAGTTATAAGTCCCTGAACTATAGGTAGTATAGTAAGGGGACACCTACTCGCGTCTGTAGGTGCACAGGCTTATGCAGGTCGCGGCATCTTGAGCAGGGTTTAGGGTTTAGGTTTTAGGGTTTGGAGTAAATTTAGGGGTTAGGGCTTAGGGTTTAGGATTAAGGGTTTAGGGCTTCACGGGCTTTAGGGCTGAAGGTTTGTGCGGCTTATAGGGTTTAGGATGAACATGTATTTCAGGGTTTACAGCGTTTAGGGTTTATGACTGACCGAGTTGCCTTTCAAGTAATTGAATACCCAGACCCCTACTGGTTCCAGGATGAATTCCGTTTTTGCGGCGTGGATGGTCAGTTCTCCGACTTGTAAAAGGATTTTGAGAGTACCCTAATCATAAGGGGCCGTAGCATATGAAGGACCACAAAAAGGGACGTTAATTAAGAGGACTTACTACCTGAAGGTTCTGATGTAAGTCTAGGGGATTCTAGAAAACTACCCCAACAAGGTACAACACAGGAGCCTTTAGGTAGATGGCACCAGATTGCGCCAAAGGACGTCCTTTCAGCGGACCATCTACGGGGACGATGACAACCAACAGCCGCAACTGCGTGACTGAAGGTTGCGGAAAAGCGTGACCAAGCCCGTTGGCTTACCAAACCGTTTCAGAACGGACTAATTCGACAATCGTTTGTCGCTTGTGATAACTTGTCACATACCTTCTTAGATTTCAATGTTTTCTCAATGTTTCACTTCAGACGAACACCACTTTACCCTGCGCGATGGTTCCTGCTACTGCCACGGATTGGGGACATAAGGAGGGTCCCCCTGGAAGAGATCCTTAATCTTATTCCCCGTATATACCTTATATACTCCCTAAAAACCCAAGTAGCCCCCACATTACCCCAAAGGTCCCTTGCAAGGGTCCCTCCTCTGGTCCCTAGCCACGGTCTTTTCCAAATGCGAGCGGCCGAGCTGCCGACGTCCGAGAGTCTTGCAGCGCCCAGGTATTTCCATGTAAACCCTGTGAGTTCTATAAACCCGTTATCCGGCAACCAAACCCTCTAAAGCATTTCGAGGGAGACACAGGCCCTATCATTCTAGAAGCCCTCGATAAGCCCTGTACATCTCCAGACCGGCGCGCACTCCGCAGTCGCCTCGATACGTCGTCCTCTCGGACTCCCAGAGGGAGATGGAGAGAGGAGAAGGAGCAGCCCGACAGTGAGAAGACACCGATGCAGCCGTTGACATCTCAAAAAAACGTATGTAGTGTGAATCTTACCATTTGTGGTGTAGTTCTTTTTTTTTAACGTCAAGTGCATCTTGAAAATTTATGACATGCGGTCAGCAGGGGCCAAGCAGCAGCACCGCTGAAGACGAAAAGAAGTTGCATGAGCGCTTGGGTCCGCTGTCAGAGTCTGCGCACATTTTTCGACCAAGGGCCGAATCCTCTGAAAGGGACCCCCCAAAAAGGGTACACCTATTTTCGGAAACCCCCATGTACCCTATTTGCTGTAGAACCCCCAAAATAATCCCTATATTACCCTTTTCAGGAAGATGTATTTCGTTGGGGGTACTTAAGCAATGGGTGGTAGTATACCCCAACCAAATCATCCCAGTCCCAATCAGCCAAGGAATCTCTTCCTCGCCATGCCAGCCAGCGGATGCTCCTGCTGCATAGCTTCCTTAAGGACGAAGTGAGCCCTAAAAGGGCTTATGGTTTCACATACTTTGTAATCGGGGTTATAGTGGTATAGAGTATATGAGCCGAATTTTAGGGTTCATTTGGCCCTCAAGGTTGGGCCGAGCTTCAACATACCTCGATTTGGGAGATGGACTTCTGGGCCCGCTGAAGTTTTTTTATAAGATTTGTCCCACCCACCGGACCCACCGAGACCTGAAACCTTTTTGAGCCTATCAAGGCTTAGGCATCCCTTCCCCAACGGTGCTTGCCCCGCGGGTTTTTTTTCGGAGCGCAGGTAATTAGATTAGATCGCTCTGACCCAGCGGCATGCCCGCACTCGAGTCATCGATGTTCAGTTCCCGAATGATTCTCGTGGTATTTCTGCGTGCTCGTGACGATCTTGCCTCATTATAGGCGCCGAGCGGATTTCAAGGCCTGCAATGTTCCAAAACTAGCAAGTGGCATGCTTTTGGCCTCCTGCTGGGTTTGCCAACTTGCGCTTTCGCCTGGAGGGGGCTTGCACTATATCTCGTGTGCGAGAGCCATTCTAAGGGGCTTTGCAATGTGTGGCGTTACAAATGACGCTCTCGCTGGGTCCCGTGCGCATGCTCCCCATGATGAAGTGCCGAACTCTGTAACATCCCTTAAGCCCTATAATACTGTTACTCTAAAGAGATACTCTACAACATCCCTCAGCCCTATAATACTGTTACTCTAAAGAGATATATGAGATATGACCCCACAAGGAGTCACGCCAACAGCCGTGAGCTACGGCGCCGTCATTTCTGTCTTGGCGAGGCCAGGGCGGCCTATTCCTGGGAGCCCGGTACCCTTCTGTAAGGCATATATGGCATATATCTCAGACATGTTCAGGCAAAAGGATACAACAAAAATTACAGGTGTGTACCTGTATATGCATATACACACACATATCTCTGGTCCATATACCTTGAGTTACGGTATGTCCTTCATTGATGGGTATTGGGGGCGCGTGCCCGTGGAGAATGTTGGAGTTCTGGTTCAGGGGGTGCACAATGACCCTGTATAAAGGACATGTTCGTTCAGAGCCCCCAACTCTCCCTGCCCCGGGGCCTACTCCAACGAGCAGATATGACGCCTACGATTATGACAACAACCGTGGCAAGTTACAGGTTGTGTTTCGCGGCTTCCCGGCTTGTGGGCTGAGGGCCGGAGGTTGCTCGCAGGTGGCACGCTCGAAGCTGTTAGGGCCAGGAATTGCGAATCGATCTTTGCCTGAAGCCTTGAAGCTTTTCTAGACCTTTCTAGCGCCCTTGCCCGTCGACGATGTCATCTTTCCACTGTCAGGCCCCTACGCCGGCCGCAAAAGCCGTAAACCCCAAACAAATTCAACCCTCAGCCCTTCCTGAAGAACCCAAAGCCTACTTTGATGTAGGTTCTTGTTTTACCCCCCTTCTTGGATTGGGGAACCTAGAAGCAGAGTAGGTTCTGGGTTCTTGAGGTTATTCTAGGATCCAGAGGTTTTGGGCTGAGAGAGATAGAGAGAGAGAGAGAGAGAGAGAGAGAGAGAGAGAGAGAAAGGCCCTGGACGCCCCCTCGGGGAACCCTAAACCCTAGACCCTAAACCCTAAACCTTAATGTGGTTGGCACATTGTTGCAGGACGTCCCAGTGGAAGCTCGTGCTGGCGGTGCTGGAGGAACGTTTGGGAGTTCGGGCATGTCTGCTGCACGCGCACATGTCTTACTTACAAATGTGTATGTATGTATGTCTGTATGCATGCATGCATGCATGCATGCATGTATGCATGTCTGTATGTATGTATGTATGTATGTATGTATGTATGTATGTATGTATGTATGTATGTGTATATATATATATGTGTGTGTGTGTGTGTGTTCATGTGCATACATTTTTACATATTTATTCATTATTTATATTTGTTTATGTAATATGCATAAAAAGGGCTTTGAACAATCCTATGGCCAAAGCTCGAGATAGTCATTTGCCTTGATTTTTGGGGTTTGTTGCTCCCAAGGAACCCAAGGAATGTAAAGTCTTGTGCCTGCTCGCACGGATATTGAAAGCTTGTTTTGTTAGTAGGTACATGTGTTTTACCCCCAAGGCCCTCAAGGCTGTGGTATTGCGTTTTCATTAGCGCACAGGGAAATGCGCGTTCGACTACTTACAACACAGATCAGAAATATGTGTTTTACATGTAAAGTGGTGCCTTGTGTGTGCATGTGTGTGTGTGTGTTCGCAGGGATGACCAATGTACCTATTCCACTAGAGTGTGCAGTTTATGAGTTGTACCTAGGGAGTATGGAGATGTGCATTGGATTGGCAGCAACAAGGGTCGGAAAACATACAGATGCTTACAGCAGTGCCTGAGCTTTCAGGTTTGTTTCTTCGAGAAAGAGATGCATTACCTCATGTGTTTATGTAGGGGCTTCTTTTCTTTCGACGGACCTATGTGTGTGTGTGTGTGCGTCTCAACAATCAAGAACCCTAACGAAACGCGGAGCAATCAGGAAGACTGTGCTCAGGGTGAAGAGCTGGCATTCTCAGTAGAGTTTCACCAGGATCACTACGCTCATGCCGACGTCGTCACGTTTGGATCGGCCATCACAGCTTGCCACCCGCCTGCTTTTCAGCATCAGCAGCCCTATATCTGAACCCTCGCGGCAAGTGACAGACGCCTTTGGCAGAAGTGATGCAGCCTCAGAAAAGGCAGTCTCAGAAGAGGTTGGATGTAGAGGCACCAGAGATGCATTTCAGGGATCTCAGTACTTAGGGCCTAGGGTTCGGGTCTAGCGCTTAGGGTTTAGGGTTTATAGGGTTTCGGGGAAGGGTCGAGCAAGCAGCACTGAAAAAGGCAGCGTTGATCAAGCAGCCTCGCACAACTCCTTTTGTCCCACAACCAGACCCAATAGCATTTCCAGGGCAAGGACCTGGCCAGTACACCCTTCTGGCAAGTGCTCCACGAACCCCACCGTGGCCCTGAAACCTGCAGCGTACCGCGCACCCGAAAGTACCCCATAGACCCAGGGGGGGAAGGGCCTCCCCCGATCGAGGGGGAGGGGGGTAAGGGTTTCGATGTTGAGCAGAGTGCTCGACCCTCAACCCCTCAGCCCTAAACCCTCAACCCCCTCAGCCCTAAACCCTAAACAGGTCTCGGTGCCTGGCGAGCCGCTGTGGGCCTCCTCCATGCGATGTTCTGTCGCAGGGCCGGTGGTCCCAGCATTAGGGGTGGGCTGGTTGAGAACGATGTGGGTGTAGGGTTTAGGGGTTTGGGGTTAGGGGTTTAGGGTTTAGGGTTTAGGTTTACGAAATTCAGGGACCCGGAATACAAACCCCCTAATCGTAGGATTCCTTTATAAGAAGGACCCCACTGAGGTACCCCTAATTTTCGAAACCCCCTATGAAGTTTAGGCACTTTCATAGTTAGTGCAACGTACATTTTTCTGAAGCCCCTGCAAGGAATCACAGGTGGCATTTTGTTGTTGTTGCTGTTGTTGTTGTTGTTGTTGTTGTTGTTGTTGTTGTTGTTGTTGTTGTTGTTGTTGTTGTTGTTGTTGTTGTTGTTGTTGTTGTTGTTGTTGTTGTTGTTGTTGTTGTTGTTGTTGTTGTCGTGGTTGTTGTCGTCGTTGTCGTTGTCGTTGTCGTTGTCGTTGTCGTTGTCGTTGTCGTTGTCGTCGTCGTCGTCGTCGTCGTCGTCGTCGTCGTCGTCGTCGTCGTCGTTGTTGTTGTTGTTCATCTAAATTACCTCTTCCTAGCAAAAGGACCGACGACACTTACTGCCGAGAGACAAAGGAGAACTCATAGTCCCCACCTGTTCCATCCTTGTCTCACAAGCACGTCTTGACCGGCTCAGCCCTCTCTGTATCATGGTCTCAGGTCTTCCTGCAGAAAGAGTGATACATGAAGCAGTGCCAACGCCTCAGCTCTGCCTAATTAAAGCGCTTCAACACTGAAGGCTGCAGTCTACTGCCTCGTAAGATGCTCCCCACAGCTGGGCTCAACTTACCGAAAGCCAACTGACCACGTGAGGTCTCCTCCCGGTCAACTAACTAGCCATGCCGTCACTATCTCGCGAGGTTCTGCTCGAAATTCTCATGGAGTCGCTTCACGTGCCAACCACCGTCCACTTACCGGGCGGAATCCATGAACAGATGGCCCCATCGACCTCAGCAGATACCCACCTCGCCCCAAGGAGGCTCACCTTTACCACAGAAGAACTCGAACCGACGGCAGAACGAAGCGTGAGAGTGGCATCACGGCTCTGCAGCTTCATATGTCAGCTGGATAGGCACCTAGCCTGGCGTGAGGGAAGACACACTGATTTTGCCCCTTGAAGCCTGGCCACGTACCTTGTCAGGCAAGCGCAAGCACATTGATGAAGAGCTGCCTTCAGCGCAACTGCCCCCATACATGGGGTCTCTCCAGCGCCAGCAAATTATATACCTCTCCCTCATGATCCGAAACTACACAAATGATGGAGAAGGCTCGCCATCCTTTAGTACGTTCGATGCCAACCAAGCGTGTACTCTCACCTGGCATTATCTCATCAGGAGATTCTCGCAGACGGAGCTCAATGCCATTCTGCTCCGAACTCTGGAGCAAGCCAAGGTACTACTGCGATCGGAGTTTACCCCGGCACATCAGCGGAACCTTCTACAGGTGCATCCACAAACGACGGAGGAGAACTGGCAAGGCAAGAAGTACTTCCCCTTAGGCCTCCGGCTGCAAGACGCTCATCAGCTTGACCTCGAAGCATATGACTTCAGAACGCTCAAAAGAGCATCGCTCCAGTTGCGCCTGCTGCAACAACTGCGGACCATCACTGCCTCCACCCCTACATCAGCCAGCGAACAGATTCGAGAAAGCTGGGAGTTCCTCGAACAAGACCGAGATCTCTCTAAGCTTGACTACGAGGAGTACCACTCCAAACTGGGCCCAATGATTCCGCACTATCAGGACACACTCCGAGAAATCCTGACACTGTATCGCCTTTGGCTGTCCACTCCACTGACAGAGGAAGACTTTTTGTGGGTGCGCAATCTGATAGTGGGTCAGCTTCTAACTAGAGACACTCTCCATCGCTACTTCGCCGACAGTCTCTGGCAACAAGTACGTCATAGATACGGAGGGGATCAAGGGGACCTAGAGCAGGCGCAAGGAGTCCTCACTATCATTTCCCCGCTCCACGACCAGGTCTTTGAAGACTACAAGAACTTTGCAGTGGCGCTGACTCTACTTCTCGTTCGACACCGTCAACATCTGAAGCAGATGCTTAATGATAAAATTCGTGGCTAGTCCACCGTCAGTGCATCCCAATGAGAGAGGTCCCCTCCTGTTACTGCACTATCTTCCTGAATTGCGAAAAGCTTTGAGCTTTGATCTTGCTGCACCTAGTTCATGCCTTTACTCTAAAGTTCTGCACGAGTGAGGTCTCCTCCTGGGCGAACTTAAACCATGCCAAATATCATGGCAAATCTTTGCCCAGGCCAGGCCTAAGCCGCTAACAAGCAATGGAGGCACTCCTCGACTCGCTCATAATGCCGCTGCCAGTAAACTTAACCTCACTGTTAGCCTACCATTGGCCCCAAGGCGCTGTGGAAATTGTCTTTTGCTCAAGCTAACATAAGAGCCAGCATACGAGTGAGGTCCCCTCCTGTCTGAGCTTGACTATGGAAGCCCTTCCTCCGGTGCTAAGTAGGGACCAAACCATGGAGGTGCTTCTGGAATCCCTTTTCCTACCGCTTCCGGTTTACCCCGTATCTCACTCGGGAGACTACACGGCCAGCAATCTGGAAATGGCATCTTCACGTATCCAGGCAGAAGACGCCCTCCAGCACTCAGACCGCCAGGTACGCATAGCTTCGCGCACCTGCAGCTTCATGAAACTGCTCACAGAGAAAGTCAACTGGAGACTGGGTGACCTTCGACTCTACCTCCCCAAGACTGCGACTCGACAGCTGGCAACCAAACGCAGGCATGAAGAAATGATGCTCCACGAGCCTCAGGAGAACACTCTGACCTATCATCGGCGGCGCCAGCTCATCTTCATATCTCAGGCGATCAGGGACTACACGAACGACGGCCCAGGTTAAAACTCCTTTCAACTCGGCGATGCGGAGTACACCACATTACGAATTTGGACGTACCTGACACGTCACTTCGCCAAAGGAGAGGTCAACTTCATGATAGCCACCACCTTGTCGCACCTTCATCTCCTGATGAGGTCGGCGACACCACGTCTGCTATCCGGCATAGAGCAATCACAGCCATCCTTGGCTCCGGGACAAGGCCAGGGCTATTTCCCCCCACATCTATGCCTACCCGAAGACAAACATTTGGATCTCCAATACTTCGACCTACAGGCACTCAGGCGTGCATCGATGATCTATCGAGTACAGCAGCTTCTCAAGCTATCTCGCTCGACCCCGGGCAGAGAGTCACCTGTGAAAAATGGCTGGCGCTTCCAACAACAAGCGCAACACCTCAGCTCATTGCCCTACGACAAGCATCTCCAGGCCTTGCTGCCTCACCTTCCAGACTACCAGGACCAAATCCGAGAGAACCTGGTGATGTACAGGCAATGGCTCCTACGCGAATTCACTGCAGAAGAGACTGCCTGGACCCGTGCTGCGATCTCTGAGTCAGCAATCTCGAGAGGCGAACTCCGGGAACTTTTCGAAGAAGCTCTACTCAAGCAGGTCAACCATACGCTCCGGGCCTGTGCCGATTCTCCCAACCCCGATGACCCTTCTCAGGACTTCCAAAACAGCGTGGCTCTTCGCTTCTACCAGATCATCAATCCTCTACACGATGACGTCTATGAGGAATACAAACCGTTCGCGATCGTCTATAAGATGCTCACTCCTCTGAACCGCCATCGGGTCCGGTCCCTTCTTCGAGCTCGAGAAGCAGCTATCCTGGCTTCGCCTTTTCGCACCCCAGCCTGATAGCAGTTTGCGAGAGAGGTCTCCTCCTGCAACGCAGAGCATCGGCTTAGCAAAGTTCTTGTCCAACAAAGGACAAAACCTGCCTCTTGAACGCAAAGACTAAAGCAGTGGAAAAGTCTCCTGCCTCCGACTGCAGCACAGCCCATCATGCGCAGAACTCTGAGACATTGCCTGCCTGACAGTCAGCCTG